CCAAGACTAAACCAAGACTAAACCAGGACTGAACCAGGTCTGAACAAGGACCGAACCGAGACTGAACCAAGACTAAACCAAGACTAAACCAGGACTGAACCAGGACTAAATCAGGACTGAACCAGGACTGAACAAGGACTGACACAGGACTGAACCAAGTCTAAACTAGGACTGAACCAAGACTAAAGAAGGACTGAACCAAGACTGAACCAAGATTAAACCAAGGCTAAACCACGACTGATACAGGGCTGAACCAAGACTAAAACCCGGTCTAAACCAGGGCTGAACCAAGACTGATAAAGAACTGAACCAGGACTGAACCAGGAATTAACCAAAATTAAACCAGGACTAAACCAAGACTAAACCAGGACTAATACAGGGCTGAACCAAGACTAAACCAGGTCTAAACCAGGACTGAACCAAGACTAAACCAGGTCTAAACCAGGACTGAACCAAGACTAAACCAGGACTAAACCAGGACTGAACCAAGACTAAACTAGAACTGAACCAAGACTGATAAAGGACTGAACCAGGAATGAACCAAAACTAAACCAGGACTAAACCAGGACTGAACCAAGACTAAACCAGGACTAATACAGGGCTAAACCAAGACTAAACCAGGACTAAACCAGGACTGAACCAAGACTAAACCAGGTCTAAACCAGGACTAAACCAAGACTAAACCAGGACTAAACCAGGACTGAACCAAGACTAAACCAGGACTGAACCAGGACTTAACCAGGACTAAACCAGGACTAAACCAGGACTAAACCAGGACTGAACCAAGACTAAACCAGGACTAAACCAGGACTGAACCAAGATTAAACCAGGACTAAATCAGGACTGTACCAAACCTAAACCAGGACTGAACTAAGACTAAACGAAGACTGAACCAAGACTAAATCAGGGCTGAACCCAGATTAAACTTGGTCTAAAACAGGAATTAAACAAAACCAGGACTGACTGAATCAAGACTAAATCAAGACTAATTCAAGACTGAACCAAGACTAAATCAAGACTAAACCAGGACTGAAACAGGACTAAACTGAAACACTTTTAAACCAGAACTAACCATCCCTAAACCAGGACTGAACCAGAACTAAACCACATGTATTCAAAACACTCAAACCCCATAAAAGCTCCAAAATCCTGGTCCCATCTCTCTAAACCAAACATAAAACAAACATGAGACAAACTGAGAGAAGTTCGGAGGCAGATCAGTGAGGCGCCGCGTTTTCCCCAGAACCGCCTGTGTTCACATGGCACCTCCGGCTATAGAATGACTGAGAGCTTTTCCCGGGTCCTGATTGGCCGACGCACGAGGACATAAAGGGACGGGACAGCCAATGGGAGCAGAGATGGAGAAGAGGGAAGCTGAGCGATGCATTCAGGGTCTGATGCAAGAGCGGTGTAATTCAGACGACTGTGTAAGTGGACATGGTGTGAACATTTGACCCTGTTCTAATGAGTTTGTGTCACATTTTATTATTCATAACTGGAACGTGTATTTATAGTCCACTGTTTTCAACACCGTGTTTTATCTAATCTGTTTCTTTCTTTTAATTCTTAATTTCTTTAAAGAGGACTAAACGAGGACTGAACCAGGACTAAATCAGGGCTAAACCGGGTTTTAACACTGTACCCGGACTAAATCAGGACTAAAACAGAACTGAACAAGGGCTAAAACAGGACTAAACTAGGGCTGAACCAGGGCTGAACCTGGTCTAAAACTGGACTAAAGTAGGATTGAAGCAGGACAGAACCAGGGCTAAAACTGGACTGAACCAGGACGAAAACAGGGCTAAACTAGGGCTGAACCAGGATTGTATCCAGGGCTAAAACAGGACTAAAACAGGGCTGAACCAGGGCTAAACTAGGACTGAACCAGGACTAAAAAAAAGACTAAACTAGGACTGAACCAGGGCTAAAACTGGACTAAACTAGGACTGAACCAGAGCTAAAACTGGACTAAAGTAGGACTGAACCTGGACTAAAACAGAGCTGAACCAGGACTGAACCAGGGCTGAAACAGGACTAAACTAGGACTGAACCAGGGCTCAACCAGGACTAAAACTGGGACTGAACCAGAGCTAAAATTGTACTAAAGTAGGACTGAACCAGAGCTAAAACAAAACTAAACTAGGACAGGACCAGGGCTAAAACAGGACTAAACTAGGACTAAACCAGGGCTGAACCAGGACTGAATCAGGACTAAAACGTGACTAAACTAGGACTGAACCAGGACTAAAACTGGACTAAAGTAGGACTGAACCAGGATTTAACCAGGGCTAAAATAGGACTGAACCAGGACTGAACCAGGACTAAAACAGGGTTAAAACAGGACTGAACCAGAGCTAAAACAGAACTAAAGTAATGCTGAACCAGGGCTAAATCAGGGCTAAAACTGGACTAAGGTAGGACCAAAACAGGGCTGAACCAGGATTTAACACTGTACCAGGACTAAACCAGGGCTAAAACAGAGCTGAACTAGGACTGAACCAGAATTGCACTGAACCAGGACAGAACTAGAGCTAAAACAGGACTAAACTAGGGCTGAACCAGGGCTGAACCAGGTCTAAAACTGGACTAAAGTAGGACTGAACCAGGACTTAACCAGGACTAAACCATGGCTGAACCAGGACTAGAACTGGACTAAACTAGGGCTGAACCAGGACTAAAACTGGGCTAGGACTAAATCACTGTGAAGCGCTTTGTGTTGCTTTTTTAAAATTTATTTTTTTTTTTTTTTTTATGAAAAGCGCTCTATAAATAAAGTTTGATTGATTGATTGATTGAAAACTGGAATAAAGTAGGACTGAACCAGGATTTAACCAGGGCTAAAACAGGATTTAACACTAAACCAGGACTAAAAAATGATTACTTGGAATTAAACTTAAATCCAAAATAAGTGGATGGTTGATTCGTTGAGACGTTGAGTGGGATTAAATAAAGTCAGTTTAACATGTTTTCCATCTAAACCTCAATTTGGAATTATTATTTTCATGTAAACTCGAAGGAGAACATTTTAATTCTGAACTATTTAATTCAGAATAAAAAAAAAAAAAACATCATTGTATCAGAATTGGTATTGAAATCGAGTTTGAAACTTTAGTATCATGACAACATTTGTGCGTAAATTAAATTGTGTCATTAAATTATGTGATTAAATGTAAAAATATAATTGATTGTTACAGAGATTTTTGATATAAAATGTGTCGTTGAAATATCCGGGGTCTAGTTAGTGATAAATAAGTCGGCTACTATTAAGTTTGGCCGTCTCCTTTAGTACTTCCATTTCCTTCCTCCGCAGCCTGTTGCTAGGAGACGGAGCAGGAAGTGTGATGGAGACGATGCATCGGTTTACAGATCATTCACTTCAACAGCTGTGAATGTGAGACTGAACCAGGACTGGACCAGGACTGAACCAGGACTAAAACAGGAATAAAACAGGACTAAATCAAGACTGGACCAGGACTAAAACAGGACTGAACCAGGACTGAAACAGGACTGAAACAGGACTGAACCAGGGCTGAACCAGGACTGAACCAGGACTAAAACAGGACTAAAACAGGACTGAACCAGGACTGAACCAGGACTGAAACAGGACTAAAACAGGACTGAACCAGGACTGAACCAGGACTAAAACAGGACTAAAACAGGACTGAACCAGGACTGAAACAGGACTAAAACAGGACTGAACCAGGACTGAAACAGGACTGAACCAGGACTAAAACAGGACTGAACCAGGGCTGAACCAGGACTGAACCAGGACTAAAACAGGACTAAAACAGGACTGAACCAGGACTGAACCAGGACTGAAACAGGAATAAAACAGGACTGAACCAGGACTGAAACAGGACTGAACCAGGACTGAACCAGGACTAAAGCGGGACTAAAACAGAGCTAAAGCGGGACTGAACCAGGACTAAACTAGGACTGAACCAGGACTGAACCAGGTCTGAACCAGGACAGAACCAGAGCTAAACCAGGGCTAAAACAGGACTGAACCAGGACTGAATCAAGACTGAACCAAGACTGAACCTGGGCTAAAACAGGACTGAACTAGGACTGAACCAGGACTGAACTGAACAAAGACTAAACCAGAGCTAAAATAGGACTAAACTAGGACTGAACCAGAACAGAACCAGGGCAGAACCATAACTAAAACAGGACTAAACTAGGACTAAAACAGGTCTGAACCAGGACTGAACCAGAGCTAAAGCAGAACTGGACCAGGACTAAAACAGGACTAAAACAGAGCTAAAGCAGGACTGGACCAGGACTGAAACAAGACTGAACCAGGACAGAACCAGTAATGAACAAGGTCTGAACCAGGACTAAAACAGGACTGAACCAGGGCTGAACTAGGGCTAAAACTGGCCTAAAGTAGGGCAGAACCAGGACTTGATCAGGGCTAAAACAGGACTGAACCAGGCCCGAACCTGGACTGAATCAGGCCTGAAACAGGGCTGAACCAGTACTTAACCAGGGTTAAAACAGGACTAAACCAGGACTGAACCACAACTGCAGCTGGACTGAACCGAATCTAAACTAGGACTGAACAGGGACTAAACCCGGACTATATTGTGAACCCAACCTATATTACTACATGCACTAGTTCTAATATACATTAAACAACTATAAATCTATTTAAGATCCACTTTTGTCATATTTATTTTCTGTGTTAATACTTTTTTCCAGTGAGAATCTAGTTTCAGTATTGATCAGTGTCTGGGTATTGATTTTTTTTCATAAATCTATAACTGGAAACAAACAAGCTGAAAGCACCAAGCGTGAAATCGATGGACTAAACCAAAGGAAGGTTCCAGGAAAACTAGGACTAAACCAGGACTAAACCAGTACTTCCTCAGGTCCACAGCGGGTCTAGACCTGTATGATTGACTGGCTCAGATCCAGGCCTGTACTTTCCATTAAACACTTCAGGTTAAGAGTTTTATTGAGCGCATTGATTCTCACACAGACTCTCTCTTCTGTCTCAGGGTCGCCATGTTAAAACAGGCCAGCTGGCTGCTATCAAGGTCATGGACGTCACTGGAGTAAGTACCATTCAAATCATTTTACTCTATATAATTGTTATATGTGTTTACAAACTGATTTCATTTGCACATTGTGGTCTTTTTGTCTTGTACCTTTTGTCTTGTGTATTGAGGCTCATTCATTTGTGTCTTTTATAGTGGACACTGAGTTAACTAGTCTCTTTTAAGTGTTTTGAGACAGACTCTTAAAGGGAAAGTTCGGAATTTTGGACAAAGGGCCTCATTTCCCAGCTAACTAGGGCCCCATCCACACTAGTACATATTCAAGTTGTTTTCGTTGTGGATGCAGTGTTCGTCCACACTAATCCTAATTAAAAACGGCTCCAGAGACAGAATGATCTGGTCCCGCCAACTCCTACAAATTCATCTGAGTATGGATCTGATCTGGCACCGTGCGGACGCCTGAAAACACTGATACCCTGACGTATGAGCTCTAGTTGTGTTTTTATTGGACCAAGTCACTGTGACTTGTCCCTTCCTGATTCGCTGGGTTGTGACATTGGTCATGTGACACCAATGCGGAAAACAGTTTAAACAAACCATAGACAAACCAGAGGCACGGAGCGCTCCCTTGGAGGTAGGCTGAGGAGTTCAGTCACGCGGGAGGAGCTCGGAGTAGAGCCTTGTCGAGAGGAGCACCTGAGGTGGCTCGGACATCTGCTCCGGATGCCTTTTGGATGTCTCCCTCAGGAGGTGTTCTAGGCATGTTCCACCGGGAGGAGGCTCTGGGGAAGACCCAGGACATGCTGGAGGGACTATGTCTCTCGGCTGACCTGGGAACGCCTTAGGATCCCCCCAGGAGGAGCTGGAGGACATGTGTGTGGAAAGGGAAGTCTGGGAGTCCCTGCTTGGACTGCTGCCTCTGTGACCCGGCCCAGGATAAAGCGGAAGAAAAGGGATGGATAGATGGATGGACAAACCATAGTTTGCACAGATTATCAGTCCACACTCTGAGCTGCTATGCTCGTCTTAAAATCCAGTGTTACGTTCAGTAACAACTGAACCTCATCGTCGGACCACAAAAAGAAAGTTTTTATGCTTTCCACCTTTCTCAGCTCGAAATCAGTAGCTGCAACTTCAGACACGGTGCTCCACTTCCTTGTTTTTACCGCCCACGTGACACTGTGACGTTGTGACGCCAGCTTAGTCATGTGACAGGCGTTTCAGACGGTTTCGCATTACTTTGTGGATAGGGAACAGACACAAAAATTTCGTGTCTGGACGTAAATCATTTCCGATATAGTGATGCGGTGATTCTTTTCAGTGTAAACTTAACCTAGGAAATGAGGTCCTATGTCCAAAACGATACAACAATATGGTAATGATTTCATTTTTAGCACTCTGATCTCATAGATAACATGCAGTTACATTAATTTGTGCCCAAAATGGCTATAATTAAAATGTAAGTATACTTTTATGCAAACATTGGTAATTAAGAGTGGTATATTAAAGTGTAATACAGAAGCAACTGATGAAATCCTTATTCCCAGTCCTCATTTACTCAAAAAAAAAAACATTGTAAAATCGGTTTTCATGTTATAACAGTGTTCCCCCATTATTATTATTATTATCTTAGTCAAAGTTGTGCTGATTCATGCATGTTTTAGTAATCCAACATTATCCTGCATTTGAGTCTTTAATCCCTGTTTCCACTCACTTCTGCGTATTTACTCAATTATTCAAGAAAGTCAAACTCCAGATCAGTCCACCAGTGTTCAAAAGTTTCCCACAGCAATTTTTCAACAATAAAAGCAAGTAATTGAAAGCTCACTGCTGCTAATAAAAGGAGGAGGGGGTCTCTCAGTTCTGCCGTTTTTAATAGCGAAAGTCAGACGTCTTCTATTATCCATTATCTGTTATAAAATTAAAGATCCTAAACGGCACAGAATTGACTCTCGTGAGCTTTAAGTCATGTTATTATGTCGTTACCTCCTCAAAAACAGACCAGGAGTTGTGTTGTGTTTCATTCACACATGTTTGAGTAACCCTGCATTATTAGTCTGTCTTTGTCCCACCTTGTGATGTCATGAAGTGGTAGTTTTCAAATGAACAGCTCCTTTTACCTTTTGTTTAGTAAAGACGGGCAATTCCAGCACTGAAATTGTCCAAATGATTACAGTGAAGGTGGATGGAGTTTAAAAATAGAGCAGAAATACGCAGGGTTTGTGTGTGTTAAAGGTGCATTGTGTAATTTTTTGGTTGCTTGTTTCTATGGATACGTCACTGCTCTGCCTGGAATATTCCACAGTGTGACATTAAACAGATCTACCTTACTTTTGAGTCAGTCTCTATGAAATCAGCCAGCGTCACCTATGAGCCATCTCGGATTTGGCTGAAAATTTTTCCAAAAATGTCTAAAATCACCAAATGAAAGAAACTAAAATTTTAGCTCAATCCCTTCAGTCATTCCTGAGTTATGTCCTGTTGAAATTTTGGGGCCATGCTCAATTTTTCAGAAGCATTAATTTATAAGCATGTTTGGGAGACCATAACTTCATAAAAAATAGAGTTAGGGAAGCTGAAAATTGGTATTATTGTAGATTCTTGGTCATAAATTCTGAATCTGTTGTCAAATATTGCGTATCGCTCTTTTTTTTTTTTTTTTTTAATATTTGAGGTCCTAGATCTATTTACTCCAAGCAGATATTTACAAACTAACTGTTGAACCTGAATATTTGAGAGAATGACCATTTTTGACAACAATCTCACACTTTTCTGAGCTTTCATGTGGTGTAAAGTCCCAAATATGGTCACAGACATAATGTGATCTTTTTGGCCTCTTCTTTGGAGCCTCGGTTCCCCATATGGGCACAGTTAGATGTTAATAATTTTTTTACCAGAGAAACTTTGGCATATTCTGATTAGTTTAAAGTAATAAAAGCATCTACTATTATTTACCTTCATTTCAAACGGAATTTTTGAAAATGAGCTCTCACGGGTAAGTTTCGGTGGAGTTTAGGTAGGTTCAGTTACCTTTAATAGGCTTAAACACCAATTGCTTGTTATAAGGGAAGACCATTTTGGTACATTTTGACCCACCCCCCGCTCCACCAGAACCAGAGCCCGAACCACCCCTGGCTCCTCCAGTACCAGAGGCAGGACCACCCCCGCTCCACCACAACCACAACAGAGCCCTGATCCACCCCGCTCTTCCAGAACCAGAGCCCGGACCACCCCCGCTCCACCAGAACCAGAGCCCAGACCACCCTCGCTCCACCACAACCAGAGCCCCAGACCCACTCCCCGCTCCACCAGAACCAGAGCCCGACCACCCTTGGCTCCTCCAGTACCAGAGCCCGCCTGACCACCCCCGCTCCACCAGAACCAGAGAGCCCCGACCCACCCCCCGCTCTTCCAGAACCAGAGCCTCGACCCACCCCCCGCTCGACCAGAACCAGAGCCCTGACCACCCTTAGCTCCTCCAGTACCAGAGCCCCGCCACCACCCCCGCTCCACCAGAACCAGAGCCCAGACCACCCTTGGCTCCTCCAGTACCAGAGCCCGCCTGGACCACCCCCGCTCCACCAGAACCAGAGCCAGACCACCCCGCTCCACCACAACCAGAGAGCCCCGACCCACCCCCCGCTCTTCCAGAACCAGAGCCTCGACCCATCCCCTGCCCCTCCAGAACCAGAGCCCGGACCACCCCTGGCTCCTCCAGCACCAGAGCCCCGACCCACCCCCCGCTCCTCCAGAACCAGAGCCAGAAAAATACCTAGAAAAACAGGCATTCTGACTGTGAGCAGGGTCGCCTCTCCACAGATCTGACATGTAACTTGGTCTTGTTTGGTCTCCATGATGAGAAAGGTTTAATATCATACTGTGGAACATTCAAGACAAAGCAGAAAAGTTACACAATGCAGCTTTAAACATGTATGAATGAAAAAAACAAAAACAAAACACAACTCCAGGCCTGTTTTTGATGAATAAACCACATTATAAATCATTATAGATCACAAAATAGAGTAATATGAGTTCTTTAAAAACTAAATATCTCTTTTCCAGGATGAGGAGGAGGAGATTAAAGCCGAGATCAACATGCTAAAGAAGTACAGCCACCACAGAAATATAGCCACGTACTACGGAGCCTTCATCAAGAAAAATCCTCCAGGAATGGACGATCAGCTCTGGGTAAGTCACACCAAAGAGTTCGAGTTATATCATAATTCCCCTTAAAAAAATATCACACCAACTCTGGTTAAATAAGTGTGACATTTTGGAGAACAATGATTCCTAAATTTACCCACTGTGACAAAAAGGCCGGAAATTCACAAGTGGAATTTGGTGTTGGATTTCACACCACAGATGCAAGTTTAAATTTAAGGATTGAAGAAAGGCATTTTTTTTGGTTAGGTAATGGTTTCTTTTTATTGTTATTATCTGAGTCAAAACTTTGTAGCTTCTTGATGTGGGACTTTTATGTAACTCGAGGAAGACACATTTGATTTGTTTTATTTTAAAGGCAATTTTATCCCTACTTTTTAGACTAGTCTAATTTTGTGTAGTGTATAGACCCTTTAAAAATGTGTAAACAACTGGAGGCAAAAGTGAAGTGGAACATAATACACTTAGTGACCAGATATTTACCCAGTACAGTCTCGATTTAATAATAAAATATTTTTCCTATTCTATTCTGTTTTATTTTGAGCCCTGTGTCCCATGTCCCAGCAGATTTATCCAAAAACCATTCATTTGTCCCAAGAAATTCACTTGTTTCCACTTGTTTTTGACCAATTCGATACCCTCCAGCAGTAAAGAGGGCAATATATTGTCATTTATTTTGCTAACATACCTAAAACGGTGCTTGAAAATGACCATAAGGTGAAAAAATGCACCAACAAAAGTTCCTCCGATTTTATACTGACCCACAAGTGAGTCGAAAAAAATACACAATGTTATACACTCTTTTTGCAATTTTATTTATACCAACATCCCAACCCAGGTGTGTCTCAGTTTTTAATTTTGAAAATCTGATCACCATACACATGTGCACGTTAGCATGCTAGTTGTTGTTGGCTTTACTGTGAACTCAACAGTGAATAGTCAAGATGCTATGTATAAGGTGAGGCAGGTGAGGAATAACTCTGGACCACTGAAAAATGTTAAAAATAAACTAGTTCTGTTTTTCACGTTTTTAAGAGTAAAAGTCAGGTACAGTCTTTAACTCCTGATTGATTCATGTTTGTTCAGCCCTGGCCCTGGTGGTCTTTTGGTTTAGTTCTGGCTTTGGTAGACCTGCCTTTGTGTTGGTGGATCTAGTTTTAATCTAGTCCAGGTTTAGTCCTTTTTGTTGATGGTTAGTCAAAGCTAGTGTGACCAGATTTTCAAAATAAAAAACTAGAACATCCCTGGTTTGGGCTGGTTGGTAATAATACAATTGTAAAACAAATGCGTAATTAAGGAAAAATAGTATTGCACTCAGCTTAAATATGAGTAGGTATAGTCACATTTTCTTTGTGTTTTGGTCACTTTTAAGCAGCTTTTCTATATTTTACCTAAACAAATAACAGGGTCAGCCCTATGTTCCCACAGTTTCCACAGCTCTATGTTCCCTCATTTCTAAGATTTTTCTTATTTCTAACATTTTTCTCAAAATGAAACTCAAGTACTTTTACTTTTATAGGGATGATTCAGAGTAATTTCCCCCTAGGATCCTTTGCACCGTGAAATCTACATTAAATCTGTAGTCAACTGCTGCTGGATAATAGGTTCGGGTGTAACTGATGACCAAATTTGGAGAAATGGGGATAAAATCTGATGCAAATTGATAATAAGGGAAATATGGGAACATAGGGCCTAATTTTGGAAAGAAAAAGGGGAAAAAAAACTTAGAAATGAGGGAACATAGGGCTGTGGGGGGTCGCAACCCCTATTCCAATTTACCGTCACTCCGACAGACCCCCACTCCGACATACCGCCATTCCTACAACCTGCATACGGAACAGCGCCTACCAACCCACATTCAGCACTAGAGTCGTACCGAGACAGAACAAGCTGTATCAGAATAGAGGGATGTTGGGGAAAAAAAAGGCTTAATTGGTGCCACTCCGACTAAAGGGGAAAAAAAAGGTCGGAGTGCAGGGACGTTTGATAAAAAAATGGAAAATGCTGCTACTCAGACCATAAACACGTCAATGTCGGAGTGATGGTATGTCGGAATGGCAACGTGTAACCGACAACCAAATTGGGAGAAATGGGGATAAAATCTGCGACAAATTGATAATAAAGGAAATATGGGAACATAGGGCCTAATTTTGGAAAGAAAAAAGAAAAAAAAAACGTTAGAAATGAGGGAACATAGGGCTGTGGGAACATAGGCACGCTTCCCAAATGACCGTTTATGCCTCTCTTTACTGTTAGAAGTGTCATATTGGTCCAAAATAGGGACACCTGGGACATTTCTTGTATAAAACTGGGACAAATGCCTGTTTTTTGATAAATCTGCTGGGACAGAAGGCACAGGGCTCAAAACTGGGACTGTCCCGGGTAAATATGGACATGTGGTCACCTTAGGATCGGGTAGACCTGCTTTTGGTCTGTCTTGGTAGATTTTGTTTTAATCTAGTCCAGGTTTTGTCCTTTTTGTTGATGGTTTGTCAGAGCAATACATTCTTATATAAAACTGGCTACACCACGTTATTTAATTTATTTTATTCCCATTTCAGCAGTTTGCAAGAGCATTTTCACTTGCACAAAACTACTTGAACTACTTGAAAACCAAATTTAAGTCGTACTTGGTCTGAAAAGCTTGAGAAATGCAAATTTGCCGCACAAATCTTAACGAAGCTAACATTAGGCTAATGTTATGCTAATATTGCTAATGCTAATGGTGTGTTGACAGCTGGTGATGGAGTTCTGCGGAGCCGGCTCCATCACAGATCTGATTAAAAACACCAAAGGAAACTCTCTGAAGGAGGAATGGATCGCCTATGTCTGCAGAGAAATACTTCGGGTAAGAAAAACTCTGATAAGTGTAATAAACGTGTTTGATCGTTTGTATGTGTAAGATAACTGAAATGTAAAGCCGACTGAATGAAACTGCTGAATGATACAGTTTGTTATGTTGTGCTCAAGTAAGATCAGGTTTTGGTTTTATGTATTTATTTACTTGCCTGTAGTGCTCGCTTTATTTGACAGAACAGAAGAAAATAGGGTAAAAGGGGGTAAAAAGAATCTGTGTATCATTCGTTCATTTGTTTTTCAAAATAAAACCAAGAATAAGAAAATTAAAAAACGGATAACAATTAGTTTTTTTCAGTTTTCGATTTTGTGTTTAAATGAATAATGGAAAAAAAAAACACAACAAAACAAAACAAAAAACGGATAAAGGCCTTTTCCCGTTTCCGTGACTTAAACTGGGATGCCGGACTTTTGTACCACATACGGACTGAACCAGAAATTAACCAGATCTAAACCAGGTCTAAACCAGGACTAAACCAGGATTAAACCGGTCTCAGTCCTAGTCTCTGTACCAGTTTGGTCCTGGTCTCAGTTCTGGTCTGGTCCCGGTCTCAGTCCCGGTCTCAGTCCTGGTCTCAGTCCTGGTCCTGGTCTGGTCCGGGTCACAGTCCTAGTCTGGTCTCGGTCTCAGTCCTAAACCAGTACTAAACCAGGACTAAACCGGTCTCAGTCCTAATCTGGTCCCGGCCTGGTCCTGGTCTCAGTCCCGGTCACTGTCCCGATCTCAGTCCTGGTCCTGGTCCCGGTCTCAGTCCTAAACCAGGACTCAACCAGGTCTAAACCAGGACTGAACCAGGACTAAACTGGTTCAGTCCATATGCGGCACAAAAGTCCGGCATCTCAGTTTAAATCACGGAAACGGGAAAAGGCCGTTATCTGTTTTTTTTCCATTATTCATTTAAACACAAAATTGACACAAAATGAATCACCCATTTTTTCAAGTGACAAATAATGAAGAAAATAGTTGGGTTTTCATTTTCTTATTTTTGGTTTTATTTTGAAAAACAAATTCACGAATGATACACGGATTGAAAAGGACATTCAAAATTTTGTATCGGTTAAAACACTAGGGTAATAAACCTTTTTCACAACGGCAGGAAGTGTCGCGATGTAGGGTAAACGTAACTTCGAATACTACAGATGTTCACAGATTACATGTCTAATATTTAAACTGCACAAATCTCTCTGTCTATGCTCATATCTACATCATGAAATCGATTTTTTTATTTTCATTGTCGAATCAGTCTGTTTTAACAAGTTACTTATTTATCCTTTGTGGAACTTGTTGATTGAAGATTTGGTGATGGGGCAGATTTATGAAGCTGGTGGAAAATACACAAGACATTTCCACAGATATTTTGCTATAGAAAAGCTTTAAAGGTTGTATAGAGGATTTTCCAAGGAACGAGAAATCCAGCGACTGTTTGTCCTTTTTCAAATGTTGCGCATGTGTGAAACTACCCCCCCTCCCCTACAGCTCCCTACGTAGAAACGCCTCCTCCCTCCTCCTTACGCCAGAAACAGGTTTGTTTACAGCCGGTGCACATGACTTGTAAGCAACTAACTACAGTGTTGGTTAGGCAAAGCGGAGAAGTGAGGAGCGGGGGGAGCGGGTGCGCGGACATTTCGTGCGCGGACAAGAAGTGAGGAGCAGGGGGAAGAGCGGAGAGAGAGCGGGCAGCGGGAGAGGAGCAGGAAAGGGGTGGGCAGAGAAGGGCGCGCGGAGATTCCGTGCGAATTAACTAGCTACAACACGCAGCAGCAAGCGGACTCTTTCTTTGCCTTGAAAATTACGTTTTCAGACATAGGATATCGCATTCGTGTCCTGAAAAACGTTTGTTTAGCTCTTGGAAATAAAGTACGTTTTCATAATAAGCAGAAGTGACCTGTCCAGGAGTAATTTGGCGACCAGTGCGTCAGTCTTTAGACCCTGCGTCTGCTTCAGTCGCGCCATCGCTGGAATGAATCTACAAGAATCACCTTAGTTTGGCTTCGCTGCTTTTCCCCTTGTCTTCTTCTTTCAGCGACCTCAAAAACAGACTTTCTTTTGTGGCTAACTGCTCCTGGATTCTTGTCGCCATTGCAACAAACTTTGTGCGAACTGCGAGGAAGATATAGGTCAAAAAAAGCCGCTAAGAACTGTTGCGTTGGTGGAGTAAACAGCGTCTGTGCGTCTTGCGTCTGTGGACTGCGTGACAGGCGTACGTAAACCACGTAACGGCAGCGCGCAGGCAAGTCAGTTACGCTAGACACGTAGGGAGTTTGATTGACAGCCTGTCAGCTCACAGATAACGAGGCAGTGTTGTTATCTATTGGCAAATGTTTAGCCCCACCACGTCCACAGTTGATGAATTTTTATTCTCTTTTTTTTGGTCATCATAATTACAAGGCTACTGCACCTCTATAATGCTATCATTGACAATTTGAAACAAAAAAAATCCTCCATACAACCTTTAACCACAAGTTACATTTACTCTACATCGCGGCACTTCGGGTCGTTGTGATAAAGGTCTATCAAGGTAATCGTGACCCACATCCTTGCTCTGGATTTGGATCTGGAGACACTCAGCTGCGGTTGTCCCTAACAGGTTGAAAAATGGGTCAAATGTAAAGGGCACATTCAAGACCGAAGGCAAATCTGTCTAGCTTGCCTTTTAAGCTGTGCAGTTAAACTTAACATTACTTTTATGGTGGTTTTGTCATTTGAAATCCATAAATATGAAATTGTGTTGTGCAAAGTAGTATTCAAGTACTCAAAATGACAGGTGGACACTGATCTCCTTCGTCTCACATGCATCACAAACCAGGAAGACGTTTGGAAACATGCGATTACAGCTTCCTTTGGGCTCTGTTTACTGTATTAAGTCTGACAAAATCTAAGAAAAATGAGAAAATGGTCCAGTTTTCTTCCTCTCTATGTCATTGTAGCGTTCCGTTATGTTTGGCGAATCAACAATTACAGCCACACCTCAGTTTTCATCATTTCTCCACTGACGTACAACTCCGAGCCCACTGGGTACATGCGATTAGAAGAGACAGGATGATTCCAAACAGCACATACGTCTGAAGTCTTCATTTTACCGCTGATCACATTTTTACTTCAGCGGGTTTTATCACAGTCGGTCGGTGAGCCCAGTGTCGGGAACTACACCAGAAATCGTCATCGCATGTTTCCAAACGTCTTCCTGGTTTGTGACATAAGCGTGAATAGAGTCTAATGGACATCTCGAGGCATAACAGAGGGAGTGATGATCAGACTAAAAGCAAAATGAGTCCGCTTTGTACTTCCTTTTAATACACGCATCAAGAATCTCGGACTTCCGGTCATTGCGCACTGCATACTGGAAAGGATTTTCCGAAAAAGTGCACCACATACAAAATGTTTGCTGCAAACTCGGGATGATTTAGGCAGTCAAAGATTACCTTTTTCATCCTTCCTGTGGATCAATCCTGCCCATCGCCTTCGCTTTTCACTTTTTTCAATTCCGTTGGGAAGGGAAACAGTTTGAACGGAGGTTTGCAGTCACACACATCTGATTCCCTTTTGCATTTATGAAGTTCGCAAACAAATTTCTTTTGACATTTTCCGCTATTAAGACATCCAACAACCACACAAATAACGATGTCCGAATCCCAAAACTAAAATATGACAATATCAGAATCAGAAACAAAAGTGATATGGTTCAAAAGACTTGAAAAGATCGGCTTTGTCAATAGACAAATCCCACTGGGAAAACAAACATCGCGATTTGATGCTCACTTTTTCGGAAAATCCTTCCCAGTATGCATTGTGCAATGACCGGAAGTCCGAGACTCTTGATTCTTGGAAGTAATAATCTCAGCATTCTAGTTGTTAGTATTACTGTGGCCTCTGAAAGCTGTGAAAAGCGCCTTTGAACTAATTTTGGTGAATAATTACGATGTTAGGAATGCGTAAGGTAAGTGAGAAATAACTTTGAATCACTGTAAACCATTTAAAATTACATAACTTTGTCTATAAAAATCACGATGGTACGTTTGTTGTGGTTTTGCCATTTAAAATCCATAACTATATAAACATGAAACTGTATTCTGCCAAGTAGCAAATTAATCAAGAAATCTATAGACCAAAACGTGATACTTTTTTGTATAAAAGTTGCATATTTTGTGTTTTTTCAGGGTCTGACCCATCTGCACCAGCACAAAGTGATCCACAGAGACATCAAGGGCCAAAACGTGCTGTTGACAGAAAACGCAGAGGTCAAACTTGGTGAGAGACTTCATTTAAATATCTGTTTTCTACCTATTTTTCCTCTTAAAAACAGCATAAAGGGCACCGTATTGATTCTAGTTCTTAATGTAACAAATGTAAACATGTATTAACTGTCTATATTTTTAGTTTTTAAAGTTTGAAAGGTGATTTTGAGATTTTGGATCTTATATTAACCTTAGAAAAGCAGTTTGATAGCTCCAGTATGGCTCCAATTTCTGCGCTGACTACCTTGCGTGATATTAGTTGCCAAAAGCAGCTCAGATCTTAAACAGGACTAAACCTTGAACAAAATAAGACTATACAAAGACTATTTCAAATCAATAAAAACACAGAAGGAGTGAGAGCTTCGGGGGATTTTTTCTTACTTAAAAAATCAGAACAGGTGCTTCTCAAGGACGAGGCTTAAAAGCAAAACAACAGTGAAGATGGCCAGGCTTGTATAAAAACTTTCTGTGAAAAAGCGAAACAGTAAAAGTCCTTTAATAGTTACAAAGAGGAGCCAATGTAACTTTTAAAGGACTTTTATTATGCCTTGGATTTGACCTCTTTTTTTTATTCTATCATAGTAATTCTTTGTACTACAAGCATGCCATAGTAATTCCTTTTTCTTAATGCTTACTCAGTGTAAATGAAGAGTAAATGATGATTAAAATGATTTACAATTTACTCTAAAAGGTGGAGGGAATTCGGGTGGAAGTGTCTTATACGATTCTTTATTACTCCTCAAATTATTGCCAGAGTTACAAGGGTTAGATTCTCATTGTTGGAGACAGTGTGGGCCACTCAAACGCCATATTTTTTGGCCACGTACAAAATTAAAATCATTCTGGGACAATGTGTTGTGTGAAAAAATCTGATACGACTTGACTTATGTTGTCCCCGAGGACCCGAAGATATTTTTTTTAGACCTTCTGCCTGGAGAGGTGATCGAAAAAGCGGACAGATACCTTTTTAAGATTCTGACTTTGGCATAAAAAAAAAAGCAATAACAAGAAGCTGTGAGCAGTGAGTCAGTGGTTAGACACGATAGAAGAAATATATTCCAAGGAACGACTGACTTTTTTTCTGCGTCTCAAAGGACATTTCTTCATTAAATCTGGACAAAATATTGAAATATAAACAAAAAGAGACTTGACTTTTATATCCTTATTACAGTGCCCCAGGTTTTGTATTTGTTTGTTTGTTTCGCGAAGTTTAAAAAAATAATAATAATATTTAAAATTTGACATGGACTAAGACAAATCCAACAGTCAAATCCATCAAAATCTCATATTTCTTGTTGGTGCCTGTGACCTTTTCTATGGATCCTATCTGGATGACTACACAGATTACGTGCATGAATCTTCACTCCTTAACGTGTTTCTTCTTTCTCGTCTCCAGTGGACTTCGGCGTGAGCGCTCAGTTGGACCGGACAGTTGGGCGTAGGAACACGTTTATCGGGACGCCGTATTGGATGGCCCCGGAGGTGATCGCGTGTGACGAGAACCCAGACGCCACATACGACTTCAAGGTGAATACGATTAGTCTATTTTAATTACCGTATTTTTCGGACTATAAGGTGCAATATCAATAATGTTGAATTCTCTCGACTATTTTCATACATAAGGTGCACCTGATTATAAGGCGCAATATCAATAATGTTGAATTCTCTCGACTATTTTCATACATAAGAGACTGATTCCTTAGCCCAGGTGTCGACGATCCATTGGCAGATCGTGGTGTAATTCACCCTTGTCTTGGTGAATGTGTATTATGAATGTGAATGTGGGTGGATCATTTAACATTTTTCATTTCCTACGAGGAGGACTCAGATATACATTGAGTAATAATGTGTTTAATGCAGCTTTGCGCACATTTGTTTACATTTTACAGAAACAAAACTTAAAACCTCATGGGTTATTTGCTTAAACTGTAAGTGCTGAAAAAAACAGCTCGCTCCTTGTGCACTAATGCGGTTCAGCTTCTGTTGGACTCCGCAAGGCTCCTGATTACGGTAGCTGTAATACACTGACAATCCATCAAGCGGTGCGGCTTCGTAGTTTACCAAAGTCGTACTAAACCAGTTTGACAGATTTTTGAGTGCTGTGTACCACATAAAATCAGTTCGAGGTCAGTAAGCACAACCATGTCGATTTTTGAGAAAACTAGTGCATCTTATAGTCCAAAAAATATGGTAATGCGTTTTTTCTTTTGCTTTATCCTCTATAGCAGGGGTGTCAAACTCATTTTGGTCCGGGGGCCGTATCCAACCTACTTTGATCCCAAAGGGGCCGGAAAAAAATAAATAATGGCATATATACCCCAAAAATAGCAATAAGTTCAAATATTTGAGCAGAGAAACACAAATATATTACAGATTTTTTTATTTTTTAATTGATGAACTCTTTCTTTTACAAAATATTATAATATCATGAACAACCTGAAACTTTAAGAGAAAAATGCAATTTCAACACAATGTTTTAACATAAAATAATAGGAATAAGTCCATTTTTCTTCAGCACTTGGCGTCCACTTTTCTCATTTTTGACATTTTGTTGATGAGGGTGTCACTTTGCCTGAAATGTTTCACAGTGTGGCATTAAACCTGTCCATCTAAAATACATTCAATTATGGGTGTTTTTATTGCTCAAGGAACATGCACACCTGCAGTCAGCGAGCTCTCCTCTGCGCAGATCTGACCGGTATCCTGATCTCATAGCATTTCCTGCTTCTTTTCACGGAGAAAGTTACCAAAAGCCACCTTTGCTACCGACTTGTCACCATGGAGACAAGAATGTTCCACAGTACGACATTATCGACACTTATCTAGATTTTGTTTTCATAATAGATGTTTTTATTACTCAAGAAAACCCTTCAGAAAACATGCATCTGTAACACGGTCTAATAGTGTTATCTGCTGTCTCCATGGCGACAGATAAGTTGAATATACTGCAGAACATTCTGGGCAAAGCAACTGCCTAAAAGTAGAAAAAGAGGCACTATTTGCTGGATTTGGTTTTGAGGTTACAACCATTCAAACCCACCAAAACTCTCATATTTCCTGATTTTGCCGGTGACCTTTGTGATTCCATGTTTGAATGATATTTTTCTTCTACCTTTCCTCCAACATTAATCACTCCATTCTCTCACATGATCGCACAAACCATTTACCCCGGCAACGCATCCCGGAGGTTACAAATATCACTGATTTCGCTGCATTTTCACTGGATTTCTCTGCGGTTTGGAGAAAGCTGAAAGAGCCGTAATGGGGCCGGTTCCCTGTGTGTTCAAACTCTATTAAATGCAAGTCTCTGGAGCTCGGTGAGACGAGAGAGCTTCACATTATGAGATTAAATAGGCTTTAAATAGGCAAAAACCCCGGCGCTTTGCTCAGATAGGAGTTCAAATGGTTACACTGTGGGTTGAAAATGTAAGGGGTATTTTTAACGGCTGAAAATGTCATTCACACAGAGGGACAAATAGCAGTGTTTGGCCTTTCTTGACAACGGGCTTTTCGTAGGTGGTGTCACAGGAGGTGAAGTTTTGAATGCTAAAAACATCTTAAAGCTATTTATAAAAGCATTCTGAGTCACTACAGACGATAAATATGTTGTTTATTAAAAAAGTTACATTCAAGGATTAGACATAAATTCAGATTGGAGTTCTGCGTTGGCGAAAATACATCCTAGTTGAAGATTGCGTGGGATCCTGAAGACACGCTTCTCCAAAACCTTACTGAAAACAATACTAAAGATGCGAGTCTGGTCACTGGTGAATCTGAGTTCAAAGGGGAGTGATTGACAGGTGGAGCAGCCGATCAGAGACACACGTGGCCCGTCTGTATCAAAACAAATATGGCTGCTTATGAGGAAAAAAGAATGGGAAAAAATTATCACAGGGTATTGAAAAACATCACGGATTTCTGCAGAATCAACGAGCGAAGAAATAAACTCTGTGAGATTTAGACTTAGCAAACTTTATTGATCCACAAGGGAAACTATTTGGACTCAGTACCTCTCAGCATATTATAAAAGCAAAGAGAAATGGTGTAATAAATTCTAAATAAGTAGCAGAAATAGCAAGAAACTGATTCAAATAAGGCATTGTTTCCCAGAGATTTTTTTGGGGTCGTCTTGTCACAATCTGCATGTAAGGTTGCAATATACAGTTCTGACACATGTTGAAATGTTAAGACATGTTTTGTATAATTTGTAATCTTTTTGTAATTATTTTATTGACTATTTTGTTCCAATAGGCGAGTTTCAGCTGACGTCATTGTTATTAAAAGCCTGCGTTGCATGCTGGGAAATATTTTGGTCGGAGGCAAGAAACACGGTAGCGTCAAACACAGTGCGTGCGTAACCCTGATAATGGTAAATTCCTGCTGCATTATCGGATGCACAAATAGAAGCACGGAAGAAGGAAAATGTCTTTTTCGTATTCCGAGTGAAAAAAAACGTTAACGGCGAATTAAATGGCTTTCAAACATTCACAGAGCAAACGTAGAAGATCCTAGCAAACCGTGGATTCCAACAAGTTCAACAACACATCGAGACTCTTGCAGACTTTCATCTTTTCTGCTGTGAATGGCCCAGGAGTTTCCACCAAGTCATTGTGGATATCACCGAAGTGAATATTTGTCCAGGTAGTTGGCGATTCTGACCAGAAATTTGGTTTGGTCCACCTTTTGTCGGGGTTGAAAAGGGTGATTTGGCTCCATCGATGCTTATGACCAATTTCTGGTCAAATGGTCTTGGGTCCTCTGCCGTTAGAGTGGATAAATAACCGGGATAAATTCCCTTTACGTGCTTTCTCGCTCCGTCTGTCATGTTGAAATAGTGTTTATTGCCGCCGTTCAAAATAATTCCCAGCATGCAACGTGCACTTTTGTCAACAGTGAAACTCGCCTATATTGCTGGTTCAATTGAATGTTGAAAAGAAAAAGAAACGGGCTACATTTACTGTCCAAATAGGCGACTTATGGATCCTTTTGCTGCTTCAATTCCTGTTTTTCATTGTTTAAAACTCGAGTAATACTAATTGTTCAGAGAGTCACGATCACTCAGTCAACAATCAAATATCCTCGTTAATGTTCAACAACGGTCAAATCCACCTTTATTTTATGATTTACTAATAATGTCTATTGACTTGGGTTTGTGACTTTTAAAATATGGGTCCCCAGAAAAAAAAAAACTTTGGGAAACACTGAAATAAGGCATAGTTACATAAATGTATTCAGGTAAAGATAAAATACAGAATCTGAGGTGTGAGAAATTTGATCCTGTTGAAAATGTGTCAGGTTACGTTAGGTTACGTTAGATTGCTTTATTCATACCCGTAGATAAATTAGTTTTGCAGATTTGAGAGGCAGGTCCCACCTTTCACATTTCATTCATCCACATTATGTACAAAAAACACGTATAAAAACACAATTACAAAATAAAGTGTTACAGTTCTCAAGTACGGAATGGTTTGTTCCAGAAATAATTAGTTAAATTAATCCATCCATCACGCTTGGCTAAAATCACAATAAATATTTAAAAATATATAAAAAAAGACTGATATCTGGTACAAAAAATACAGAGATTACAGATGTATTATACTATATAAGCAGCTTGAGGTTAAAAGAAGTCTAGTGTGTACTTTTTGCATCTACTTTTATCGTTTTATTGTCTGAAAATTAGGAACTGTGACAAACTGTGGCCTCTGAAAGTTCTGAAAAGAGCTTATAAACTCATCATGGTGAATAATTAGGATGCTCTGAATGCATAAGGTAAATGAGGAATCACTTTGGAACACTGTAAACCTTTTAAACAAGCTGCTTTTTTCACAGTTTTAAGACAGTAAAACTCAAGTACAGCGTCTTTAATATCCTCACCACTAGACCACAGCTCGAGTGAGAAGGATAAAACGACATTACAGCATAGTTTTATCTTCGATGGTTCCTTTAAACAACCCATAATATTGAATAGGAGCTCTGAGTTAGCAGGACAGATGGGTGTTGAGGAGTATTTTTACCATCTCGCAGGAACAGTGACCGCTGGACCCTGCCTCCGATGTGTGAATGTGCGGCGCGCTCGGACCATGTCACACTTCATCTGACTGTTGTGTTTTTCTTCTCAGAGCGATTTGTGGTCCCTCGGCATCACCGCGATCGAGATGGCAGAGGGAGCGCCACGTAAGTCAGAAATACTATACAACTGTTAAAGGCATTATGATGTAGATGAGACTGTGATTACATAAGTAGACAGGCCAATACAGCGTGTGTTCAGTCGACTGTGAGACTACACTTTAATTAATTAATAAAGCATGAACCAAGACAACAAACAGAATGATACATGTTTGGTTACTATTTATTTAACATGCAATCTCTAATTTACATTTCAAATCCTGAATAATTCTTAAAGGGAACATATTATTATACATACTATTTTCCGATCTACATTATAAAACAGACCTGGAGTTGTGTTTTGTTTTATTCACACATGTTTAACACACAAACCCTGCATATTTAGGCTTCTCCAAAACAGAAAACACTCTTCTCCACCTCGTGATGTCATGTGGTAATACAGGAAGTGCTCCACTGTGTTGTAAGACTCCATGCACCTTTACTAGAATCGTTTGGATAATTTCAGTTACCGGAATTCCTCATGAACAAAACGTAGCTGTTAAAGGGACAGTTCGGGATTTTGGACGTAGGACCTCATTTCCAGTGTTGGAGACATGTGGAGACACTTTTTTAAGGCTACGTTTACAAATTATTATATCACCGTATCAGAAACGATCTGCGTCCAGACACGTCTTTTCTGTGCCCGCAAGTTTTCCCTATCCACACAGATTTGAGCATATTTGTTTACGTTTTACAGAAACAAAACTTAAAACCACGCGGCTAATTTGCATAAACTAAGAGCTCAAAAAAACAGCTCACTATTGTGTCGCTGATGCGGTTCAGCTTCTGTCGGACTAAAGGACACGACTCAGTGGAATATGGGTGTTCTTTCTGTGACAGAGGGGTGTTCTGCTGATGGTGAGTCTGTTCTGTGCTTCTGTCTCGCTGGAGATGGTTCATGTTAAGCTTTTCAGAGATTATACGTCTGCAGGTCGTACACACAGACCGTATATATGAATGGACATATATTCTAGCTTCTTAGTGTTTTGGCGGTGCACAGACCTACATCAGTGTATCAGTGTTTTCAGGCGTCCACACAGTGCCGGATCAGATCCGTATTCAGATGGATTTGTGGGAGCTGGCAGCACCAGATCGTTCCGTCTCTGGAGCCATTTTCAGTTGGATTAGTGTGGACAAACACTGCATCCACAACGAAAACAACTCAAATACGAACTAGTGTGGACGGGCCTAAATATTCCATCCAGTCCTTGTTAGAGCCCGACCGATATGGATTTTGTTGTTGCCGATATGAAACCGATATAATGGGAGTTGGCGCTGCCGATAGCCGATATAATCGCCGATATATTTAGTGATGTAAAAATTCACTGTAAATCTTGAATTGTATAAAAAACTTAGGTTTGGCTCTAGTGGATTTTAAATTGGGTTTATTTAAGCAACATTTATTGTTCTTCTGCCTCTTTGTGTCATATTTACAGATCACATTCTAGCTACTAGTGATGGGTAGCAGGACTAAAGCAGGACTAAACCAGGACTGAAAAAGGACTAAACCAGGACTAAACAGATCTAAACCATGTGTAAAACAGGACTAAACCAGAACTGAACCAGGACTGAGTGTCGGGACTCGGTCTCTATCTCTCTCCCTCTCTCGAGCCCAAGATTAGTCCTGGTTTATTCATTTTATGCTGAACTACAGCCAAATAGGCTAGTTTTTTTCTACCCTATGCACACGCATATTTTTGAAAGTTTTATTTTTAGCCTCTGCCGCTGTCAAACTCCCACAAGTCTGCACGCGACGTGAAGAGAAAGTGAGAGAAAGAGAAAACACGGCTCCCAATAAGAAACATGCTCCCGTCGTTCGCTTCAAAGAGCCGTTTCGTTCACGACCGACCCATCACTACTCGCTACTAAAGTAAGCTACCGCTATTAGCCTTTAGCTGTAAATGCTGCGCACCGCGGTAATTAATTATATGCATAAATGTGGATCATTCACACATCTATTCACAGCTCATTTACATATCAATGCTGGTCCAGTAACAAATATACGGCCAATATAGTCACTTTACAATAGGCCAATAGAAAACAGCCTGTTTATGTGCAGGAGCTACAGCAGCTAATCCATAACAAATAACCAAAACTATCTTCAAAATCGATGTATTTCCAACACTCAGCCTCACACAGGCTCCTCCTCACATCATAAGTCTGAACTAATAAAAGTCCTTTTAATCCAGACTCAAACCGATTGTCCGTAAAAAGAATATAATCTCAGTGTTGCGCACGGCTGTGGGTGTAAACAAACACACGTGAGTGAAGTGACGTGACTCTGTGGTGTGTTCAGGGACAGTACGGACACAGACACAGACAAATGACTCCGTAGATAAATACTGATGTGGAGCCACATATTAGGACATTTATGTGTTTGTAAATTGGATTAAATGAACAGAATGTAGAGAGTCTAAGCTTTATAACGAGGTATAACATTCCCACGTGAAATATCGGCCCAGATCAGGAAGCATATCGGCCGATAGCCGATATATCTCCAGGGGCCAATATCGGCCGATAATATTGGCCAACTGATATATCGGTCGGGCTCTAGTCCTTGTATTTACAGAGGTCACTGGTGCTAGGCTGGTGCATGTCAATGGCCATAGTTATACTGCCACTAAACACAGTCTTACCCACTCAACAAAACCCCCGAAACAAATCTATTATGACACCAGACTGTCAATGTGAATGTCTGTGTTGATAGAATAATGTTTGAACTACTGCATCGTATGAATCGTCGCATGTTGAAGGACTATTTTCTCGTATATCAGTCCGCCGCTGCCGAGCTTTCTATCAGGAAGTACAACTCACTGCTGCTGCTCAGACATAAATCCTTCATATGCAAGGCTGGTTTTAGTTCAAATATTATTCTATCGACACATTCACATCGACAGTCTGGTGTAATAATTGTTTTGCCTCGGGTGCTTTGTGGAGTGGTTAAGACTGGTTTTAGTGGCACTGGACGGAACTGGATTTAGTGGACTGGATGGAATATTTAAAAACGTGTCTCCACACGTCTCCAACACTCTGGCTCACTAAGAAACAAGGTCCTATGTCCAAAATCCTTGTCCCTTTAACTTGAAATCTACCACTTCATGACATCACAAGGTGGAGTTTTGGAGATGTAGACAGACTAATAATAAAGGATTACTCAAACATGTGTGAATGAAACAAAACACAACTATTGATATGTACCATAATACACTGATATAAATGTCTGTGGCATGAAATGAATATTGATGAATTGATTACAATGATTTTGCAGTTTCCTCTATTTGTGGCTGAATAGGAGCATCGAGTAGTGGGTCTAGTGATAGTTTGAGTCTTCAGTTTGACAGTTCTAAAACATGTTATTAACTTTGTATTTTCCTCTGGTCATTTTCAGCGCTCTGTGACATGCATCCAATGAGAGCCCTCTTCCTCATCCCCAGAAACCCCGCCCCCAGACTCAAGTCCAAGAAATGGTGAGAAGGAATTGTTTTTTTTTGGTTTTTTTTTGACTGATTTACTTTTGGTTTCCTAAAAAATAAATTAAGTAAATATATGAATAACTGCATCTTTAAAGGGGACATATTATGAAACACTTTTTTTGAGCATTTAACCTGTTACAATGGTCTTCCCTCCATCATTAGATCACTCAAAGTTATGTTTTGGTTGATTCATGCATGTTTGAGTGCTGCTTTATATTTACGTTTATTTATCTGTTTATCTAGAGTTTAAAAATGTCTTGTAGCCACTTTTCAACAACTATTTAATAGGGATGGGACAATAAACAATAATATCGTTTATCGTGATAATAAGGGTAGACAATAATCATTCGTGGGACATTTTATCTAATCGTGATAATCGTCAATAAAGATAATCGTCATAAATCACCAGAATGTGCAGAAAAAAAAGGACTCTATGATATTTACTTCTAGATCACTGTTGTTTTCACTTTCATTAACAAAGGTTAGGTTTACACTGAAACGAATCACCGTATCACTGTATCACCACATCGGAAACGATTTGGGTCCAGACACGTCGTTGCTGTATCCACAAGTCTTCCTTGTCCACACATCTTTGCACATATTTGTTTACGTTTTACAGAAACAAAACTTAAAACAACATGGCTAATTTGCATAAACTGAGTGCTCAAAAAACAGCTCGCTCCTTGTGCCCTGCTGCGGTTCAGCTTCTGTCAGACTTAAACGACACGACTCAGTGGATTATATGTGTTCTTTCTGTGACAGAGGGGTGTTCTGATAATGGTGAGTCTGTTCTGTGCAAGTAGTTCTAGCTCCGCTGTTTCCCGTTTGTCTTTGGTTTGTTTAAACTGTTTTCCGCAATAGCGTCACATGACCAATGTCTCGAACCCAGCGAATCAGGAAGGTGCAAGTCACAGTGACGCGGTCCAATAAGGATGCAACTAGAGCTCCTACGTCAGCGTATCAACATTTTCAGGCGCCCACATGGTGCCGGATTAGATCTGTACTCAGATGAATTCGTGGTGGCTGGAGGCACCAGATCATTCCGTCTCTGCAGCCGCTTTCCATCGGATTAGTGTGAAAGAACACTGCATCCACAACAAAAACGACTCGAATATGTACTAGTGTGGATGGGGCCAAAGTACAACATTATTGTAAAAGTTGTTTAAATATGGAACCTATTCATAATAATCAAATTCTCATTATTCATATCCATAACTTTCATAATTATCATGATCTAATTGTTAATTACAGTTATCTTGGTCCTGATAATTGTAACACCAAACTTCTATATCATCCCATGCCGACTATTTAAACCAACTAACTAAATAAAACAAGTAAAAGGAAGACTTCAGGCCGAGTTCCTCATCCTAAAATTATTATAGGACCTTGACTGAACTTACTCCACCTGTGAAAAGACTGCATATGTAAATGTATTTGTGATTTCAGGTCCAAGAAGTTCCAGTCTTTCATTGAGAGCTGTTTGATGAAGAGCCACAGTCAGAGGCCGAGCACCGAGCAGCTCCTCAAGCACCCGTTTATCAGAGACCTGCCCAACGAGAGACAGGTCCGGATCCAGCTTAAAGACCACATCGACCGCACCAAGAAGAGGAGGGGAGAGCGGGGTGAGGAGGAAAATATAAATCTCCTGATAATTTAACGTTAATCGAACTGAGATCCAGTCAGTTTCAATTAATCCATAATCAGTTTGGGAGTTTTTAATCAAGTTTTTAATTGAAAAGTCTAATCAATCCTTTCAGTAAATATATGTAGTTTGGAAAATTATGGTCGCTCAGTATGGGGAAAAACAGACATATATTTTTTGCCATATTGCATAGAAAGGTTTAATACTTACAAAAAAGCAATAACTTATCCATTAGGGGTGTGCAAAAATATTGAAACATCGATATATCGTATTGTTTAATGTGATGATACAGTATTGATATCGTAGGCTGCTGTATCGATATATCACCAAGAGTATTTTTTGGTATATTTTACTAAATTATTTTATTACAGAGCTGCAGTTTTGTTGTTTGTTCAGAGAAAGGAAACTCATTTATGCAACACATTTGACATTTTCATTGTTTTGATGATTAAAATGGGTGTGTTTCATATGAAAAAGAGGTTTAAATGTGTCTTGTTGCTTTTGTTTTCAGATGAGACTGAGTATGAATACAGCGGCAGTGAAGAGGAGGACGAAGAGAGAGATGTCGGAGAACCCAGGTAAGTTTAAACTGACCAGCTGCCATTTTTGCTACCTGCTTGTTTCCATGGAGATGTTAATGTGTTGCTCGTAATGTTCCACAGTATGACATTATCTACCTTTAAAGTACCTATCTTAGCTTTTTTTCATAACAGGTGTTTGTTATTACTTGAAAATACCTAAAAAAACATGCATTTGTTTGACCTGTAACTTGGTCAGATGTCTCCATGTAGACAGATATGTTTAATGCCATACTGTGGAACATTCTAGGCAAACCAGTAACTTCTCTGTGGAGACAAGCACATGGTGTCCCCTTCACCAGAAAAGTTACACCGAGTTCCCCGGTTCAGGGTTCCCACGGTCATGGAAATTGCGCTTTGTGTTGCATTTTTTTGTATGAAAAATGCTCTATAAATAAAGTTTGATTGATTTATTTACTTATAGAAATCCTAAAAAAGTCACGGAAATTAAAAATACCACGGAATTTTGTAAATTCTATGAAGTTTTGGAAAAGTCACTGAATTTTTGTATCTCTTTCACGCAATTACAGTGTTCTGTTAAGTTATCGTTAGGCTATTATGATTATTTCACGCCTTTGGTTTAAAAGAAACGACAATAAATGCACTGACAGTATTTTGAATGTTAAAAATCTATATCATAACCATAAGGTGAGTGGCAAGGGTTAACATTTCATATTTAGCCCTAAAAGTCTGATCAATTCTACACATGTAGGTGCCGAAAAGTCATGGAAAATTCACTTTAGGTCATGAAAAAGTCATGGAAAAGTTTTGAAATTTCGTCAGTGAAAAAGAGTGAGAATCCTGCTGACTTCCTCCATCAACCCAAAACCTGCACAATGGGTCAAATCCTCCAGCTAAGGTAGTTCTAACTCTTGACCAAGACTAGCTCAAGATTTGTAGATGGTTCCCACACCCACTGCTCCTGATTAGTTGCCCCAGTGGCACTGAAGGATGTGGCAAATGCAAAGGGCAAATTTCCCTGTGAGGGCCATAAAGTGTACCTTAACTTTACTATAACCTAAGAGACATACGATCAAAAACACACAAGAAACAAGAAACACTACTAGACCATGTAGCATTTTAATTCTCTTTTAATTTTGATATTTTGGTCTCTCTGGTTTATTTGCCCCTGAAGTTCTGCTGGAGTGTCAACCATGGAATTATAGTAAAAACTATTTTTATTCTAGTTCTACAAAGTCAACTGAACAAAGTTTATCACCTCGCTGCCTCCTGTTTCTCTTCATGAAGTTCCACAGTTACTTTTTAAGACGCAAAAGTAAACTATAAAGTTGCTATAAAAGAAAAGGACATGTTTGTGCACAAAGTCCTGATGATTTTTCAGGTAAGTTGTTCTAGCAGCAGAAATTCCGGTGCAAATAAACCCGAGAGAATAAAATATCAAAATTAAAATAGGCTCCGAGACTGTTTATTGATTTGTGTTACTTGAAATAAACTTTAATTAAATATTGCAAATAGAGGTTGAAATATTTTTTTTGTTTGACACTAACACAGAATAACAAACTTTTCCCATTTTATTGTTTTTCGTTCTTAATTGAAATTCAAAAGAACGTCTCAATACTATCCCCGTTATTGTTTACTAAATATGTTGTGGTCCGTTCTCAGCTCCATCATAAACATCCCCGGGGAGTCGACTTTGAGGCGGGACTTCCTGCGCCTCCAGCTGGCCAATAAGGAGCGGTCCGAGCTGATCCGCCGACAGCAGCTGGAGCAGCAACAGAACGAAGAGCACAAGAGGCAGCTGCTGGCGGAGAGGCAGAAACGGATAGAGGAGCAGAAGGAGCAGAGGAGGAGGCTCGAGGAGGTCAGGACCAGGAGAGAGAACTGAAACTGTGCACTCAGATAAAAGCACAATTACATGGCTAAAAATGTACTGCTGACAAAATTGTGCTTAACATTCCCGGAGGAGGAAGTGGGTGTTTAATCTGTCTAACTTGTCGGCAGCTCCCAAACCCTTAATATCCACATGCATGTAATTTTCAGGCTCGTACACAGTTTAAGAACAGAGAAAATAGATTCTTCAAATGCAGCCATTCAGATCACTGCTTCCGGCACTTAATTTTGAGTTGATGAGAAATAAAAATTAGCTGCAGTTTACAATTTACAACAGACTCGTTGGTGGAAAACACAAAATAATACTCATTTAATGCAGTTTTATAAGCATTATAAATTTCTCTAGATTTGACCAAAATTAGGGGTAAACATGATCTGAAATGAGACTAAACCACGACTAAAGCAGTTTTGATGAACCCAAAGGAGTACAAAAACATATATACTGTATGTCTCGAAATAAATCAAATACTCAAACTATGTTATTTGGTTCAGAAATAACAAAAGCGCTACACTGGATCAAAAAACTTACTCATTAAACCGTAGGGCTAGATTCTCTTAAAATAGAAAAATGATGGCAGAGGCACTCTGATTTGCGGTGAATTTATTAAAAGTCACACCAACGCGTTTCAACTACTTGGTCTTCATCAGGGCTAATTGAGTAAGCAGCAGGTGTGACCATTTATAGGGGTTGCAACCCAAGACACGTGATAGTTAAAAACTAAAACATTTTTTCAAAGTTTTCAAAATTTTTCAAAACATTTGCATGTTAACAGATAAATCACACTGTTCTGTATAAGTTGGAGTAGAGTCAACAATACATAATCCCTTAAATTGCACAGCACACTTCAAAAAATTATTCTCAATAGATCATCAAAAAGAAGAAAACACCAGTGATTTCAAAACAAAGGTAATGAAAAATGAAAAAACTATGTTATTAGGTTCTTTTTTCAGACCAAGCGTTTGTTTTTATACCTGACAGTTTCGACTGCTCTCTAGCGCTGTTCCTCAGAGTCACGTGATGTTGCCGTGACGTGTCCACTCAGCCGATTTAAACAGGTTTGGCACTGTTTTCCTACCGGTGGAGGCAGGACGACAGCGCCATCTGCAGTCCGACTTCCTCGGGACAGTATCCCAGCTGTGTGAGAGTAAAAAAGCCCCCTCGTCCCGGTTGATAGTCCCGTGGGCACATATTTTGATTGCCTCTTTAATCCAGGGACGATGTTTGCTGAAAAGAACCTAATAACATAAATTATCGGAAAACCAAATGAACCTCATTTTACCAGATGCTCAAACTGCACTGGGTACACAGCAAAAGCGGAGTGATAAAATTGACTCTCACAGAATCAATTTTAACATTTTCTCAGAGTTTATATGAGTCTAATCTGTTCTAGAGTTAATTTAACATTTTTGGAAATGTTAATGAAGTAACACTGGACCAAAGTTCATATTTAACCCCAAAATCAAGAGTTATATTAACATTTTGGGAGTAAACAGATAACACTTTGTAGGGTTATCCTGATTTAGCTAAACAACACACAGAGGTGTTTTATTTTTACACTTTATTTTAGTTAATTTAAGATGAAATTATGAACAAAAGTGGTTCAAACTGGTCTTCTCTCGCAGGAGTGGTGAAGTGGTGGGTGGGAGGTGCCGAATTAACACTAAGGGAAGTTGAATTAACACTAGGAGAAGTTGAATTAATGTTAACCTGCAAATAACCAGTGTTGGGGAGTAACAGATTACATGTACTGGAGTTACGTAATCAGAGTACAAATTATGATTAACTGTATTCGGTTACAGTTACTGTTTCAGTGAGTGGTAATTGGATTACAGTTACTTTGTTGAAATAAATGGATTACACTGCGGTATTTTACTGTTTTCACATTGTGGGCTATTTTGGGCTTTTTTTTTTTTTTTCCTCTGAGCCAAACCAGGTCTAAACCAGGACTAAATAAGGTCTAAACCAGGACTAAAACCAGGACTAAAACCAGGTCTAAACTAGATCTAAACCAGATCTCAAACAGATCTAAAACCAGGTCTAAAACCAGGTCTAAAACAGGATTAAACCAGGACTAAACCAGGACTAAACCAGGACTAAAACAGGTTTAAACCAGATTAAACCAAGGACTAAAACCAGGTCTAAACTAGATCTAAACCAGATCTAAACCAGGTCTAAACCAGGTTTAAAACAGGTCTAAAACCAGGTCTAAACCAGGACTAAACCAGGACTAAAACAGGACTAAAACCAGGACTAAAACCAGGTCTAAACTAGATCTAAACCAGATCTAAACCAGGTCTAAAACCAGGTCTAAACCAGGACTAAACCAGGATTTAACAGGACTAAACTATCAATAATATTTTTAATACGGTTAAGTAAAGTCTGGGCTTTTTATTTTCTTTTAGCAAACAAAACATCTTATGTTACGATATCCTGGTCTTTGCTTCTCTACAGCAAACCAAGTAATCCAAAGTATTCAGATTACGTTACTCACTTTAAGTAATTTAATGGATTACATTACAAACTACATTCTGGGGTATGTAATCTGTAATCTGTAGGGGAATACATTTTAAAAGTAACCTTCCCAACACTGCAAATAACCCCAACTTGAACTCCCATTTAACGTTAAAATAACACTTAACTAGACGTACAGTAGAGTGGAGAGTAGCAAGAGTAGCATTATAGATCAGATATCGATAATTTATTACAAAACAATGCCAAAGTTTAAAGATGAAGTTGTTTTAAACCACGATCCACTGAGCTAAACGCAAAAAAAGCAGGGGATGCAGTACTGCTGTGTGTGTTTATTTATTACATTACCTCAAATAGAAAGCAGATGTAGGTAAGATTGACAAACAAGACAGAATTTCTCAGAGTCATTTCAGGTAAGATTATGTAATTCCGAACAATAAAGAAATAAAAAACGGATTCAAAACCATGTTGCACCTGCTTCACACCTGGACGGACAAAGTGTGAATGAGTTTCCTGTTTTTTCACAGCAACAACGGCGCGAGCGAGAGATGAGAAAACAACAAGAGAGAGAGCAAAGGAGGAGGTACGAAGAGATGGAGCAGATACGGAGGGAGGAGGAGAGGAGGCACGCCGAGAGGGAACAGGTAAAGACTCGTGTGAAAAAGAGAGAGAGATACACAGGGGAGAAAGGAGGAAAGGAGGGAGACAAGAGTGAGGGGAGGAGTGAGAGAATGAGGAGGAGGTACGAAGAGATGGAGCAGATACGGAGGGAGGAGGAGAGGAGGCACACCTAGAAACACATGTAAAAGAGCGATATATAAGGTATAAGGGTCCGGTCAAGCAGAAGTAAACAGCAAGGCCAAAAATTCAATTAATGCATCTGATATAAAAATTTATTCAACAGATACATATGTACTCTAGTTTATGAAACTGTTGACCTTTTTTCTGTACCATTTTTGGTTCTAAAGTTACATATGTTTTAAACAGACCATGTATGAAACATGGAACAAAAATTATTTCCCAAATTTCAAAGACCTGCAAATCATGTAAATAAATTGATATATTTCATCATATCTTGTGTTACTCCATCTCTGAACTGTTGATGAAGGTACATGATTTAAAAAAATTTAAAAAAAGGATTTAAAATGATACAAATTTTCTTGGAAGGACTGACATATTTTATAGAAATAGTTACTTTTAATTTTGAAGTAATATTAAAGTATTCAGAAGAAAAAAACTGACGAATTATGTAAAATCATGCACCTTCTACTTGTTTGCACAATTTTCCCTCTGTTACTTTTCCCTCCGTTAACATGACCTTTCTTAATAAAAAATCTCATTAGTCAAAAAGTAAGAGTTTTTTCAAACTAATCTTGTACCATATGGTAGAAAACTATATGAAGCAAATATTCAAACCAGTTTGTTAAGGATATGTAAGTGAGAACCAAGAGTTATCACTGTTTGGATTTATTGCCCAAAAAGTGCTGCATATTTCATTCCCTCCGTTACCGACATGAGTTTTAAAATTTTTTGTCAACAACTTGAAAGAATATCACAGGTTTAACTTTACCCTGTTGGAGTGTAACTCTTTCCTACATTCTGATACTTTACTTATTTCAATAGTCCCTCTAGTTTCTGAATAAGAGCTATTTGAATGTAAAAAATCTGCCCCTGTTTCCCTCCGTTACCAATTGACCGGACCCATAAGATGAGGTGGGGAGAGAGGGGGAGAGAAGGAGAGAGAAATGATGAAGATATGGAGGAAGGAGGAGAGGAGGTACGCGTAAAGGGGGCAGGTAAAGAAACATGTGAAAGAGAGAGAGATAATGGGAAAGGAGAAGAACGAGAGCTGAAGAGGAGAGAGAGGAGAGGAGGAGGTACGAAGAGATGGAGCGAACAGGTAAAAACACATGTGAAAGAGAGAGAAACAAGGGGAGAGGAGAGAAATGAGAGGTGAAGAGGAGAGAGAGAAGAGGAGAAGGTATGAAAAGATGGAGGAGATACGGAGGGAGGAGGAGAGGAGGCACGCAGAGAGGGAACAGGTAAAAACACATGTGAAAGAGAGAGAAACAATGGGAGAGGAACGCGAGATGAAGAGGAGAGAGAGGAGAAGGAGGTGGAGCAGATACAGAGGGAGGAAGAGAGGAAACACGTAAAGAAAACATGTGAAAGAGAGAGATACAATGGGAGAGGAGACAAGGAAGAAGGAAGAGGAGAGAGAGATGGAGGGAGCAGATATGGAGGAAGGAGGAGAGGATGCATGCTGAGAGAGGAGGAGGAGAGGAGGAGGTACGAAGAGATAGAGCAGATACGGAGGAAGGAGGAGAGGAGACACGCTGAGAGGGAACAGGTAAAAACACACGTGAAAGAGAGAGAGACAATGGGAGAGGAACGAGAGGTAAAGAGAAGAGAGAGGAGAGGAGGAGGTACGAGGAGATGGAGCAGATTCGAAGGGAGGAGGAAAACATGTGAAAGAGAGAGATATAGAACGAGAGAGGAGAGAAGAGGAGCGAGAGATGGAGCAGATATGGAGAGAGCAGGACTGGAGGCACGCTGAGAGGGAACAGGTGAGAGAGACAATGGGAGAGGAGAGAAGGGAGAGAAAAGAGGAGAGAGAAATGGACCAGGAGGAGGAGACGGCATGCCGAGGGGGGAGGAAGAGAGAGAGAGGAAAGAGAGGGAGGAGGAGGTATGAAGAGATGAAGCAAATACGAGGGAGGAGGAGACTAGGCACGCTGAGAGGGAACAGATAAAGAAAAACAGGTCAAAAGACAGATATAAGGGGAAGAAGAGGAGAGCGAAGAGGAGGAGGTAGAGGAGAGAGGGGAGGTACGAAGAGATAGAGGAGGTAAGAAGAGATGGAGCAGATTGGAAGGGAGGAGGAAAGGGAACAGGTAAAAAAAACATGAGAAAGAGAGATACAATGAGAGAGGAGAGAAGGGAGAGAGAAAAGGAGAGAGAGATAGAGTAGATATGGAGGAAGGAGGAGAGGAGGCACGCTGAGAGGGAACAGGTAAAGAAAAACATGTCAAAAGAGAGATATAAGGGGCAGGGGAGGAGAGAGAGAGAGAAAAGGAGGAGGAAAGAGAGAGAGGAGAGGAGGAAGTACGAAGAGATGGAGCAGATATGGAGGGAGGAGGATAGGAGGCACGTGGAGAGAAAGTGAAATAGAGACAGTGGAAAAGAAGAGGAAAGAGAGAAGAAGAGGAGAGAGAAGAGATGGAGCAGATACGGAGGGAGGAGGAGGAGCGATAGATACAACGGAGAGGGGAGGAGCAGGGAGGCAAGGCAAGGCAAGTTTATTATTTGTACAGCACAATTCGTACACAAATTAATTCAAAGTGCTTTACAGAAGAAGAAATACATTAAAATCACAATAAAAACTAATCAAAACATAAAAAAATCATCATAAAATTAAATAGAGAGAGAGAGAGATTAAATTAGAGAGAAGATTGGAGGAGGAGGAGGGGTATGAGGAGATGGAGCAAATACAGAAGGAGATAAAAGAAACACGTCTACAGGGGCGAGGAGAGGTGGACCAAGAAGGAGAAGACGCACAGAGAGGGAAGAGGTAAAGCAACGTGAAATATACAAGGGATAAAAAGAGAGGAGGAGGAAGGAGGAGAGAGTGGAGGAAGGAAGTATCAGGTAAAGGGGGAGATGAGGAGAAGAAAGAGCGGGGAGGTGCTATGACACGGTAAAAAAAAACTTGTAAGAAGAAAGAGGAAAGGACGAAGAAAAAGTCTATAGATAAAAATAAAAAAGAGAAGAGAAAGACAGGAGAAAGAGAGAGGGAGAAAGAGAAAGAGAGAGTGAGCAGGTATGAAAAAATAGACCAAAACATTCAATATATAGACACAGGAATGAGTGGAGGAGGAGGGCCTGCTGAGACTTTCAAAAGCAGCTGCGCACGGGAAACAGAAAATCAAGTACAAGCTGAGAGGGAATAAGGAAAAGTAAAACATAACATGGCATTATTTTGTACTGACAACACCCCGAGTTCACAGATACACAATAAACGCTTACAGAAAACACAAATATTACAGTGAATCTCGAAACATATCTTGATTTAATCCCCCATATCCTCAGGTCGGTTGAACAGTGATCATTTGAGAAACATGTGATCACGGACGAGAATAAGACATTGTGTTGTTTGTGGAAGTTTATTCACATACAGTGTTGGGTCTGTTTTAGTTATTAAGACTTAGTTACTGTAATGAAATAAAAATGATAAAGGTGCACGGTGTAACTTTTCGATTACAGGTGGTTTTATAGCTCAAAAATACCTAGAAAAACAAACATTCTGACTAGGGCTGGGCATCCAATCTGATCTGATCCACTTTATTTCTATAGCACATTTCACAAACAAACAGTTTCCAAGTCACTGCACAAATAGATAATAATTACAACAATAATAATATAATGATAAAATGAACGCTCAAATTTAATTGTACTAGTCTTAAAATAATAAAACCAGTCAAATAAAATAAGAGCAAAACCATAAAATAGCGATAAATAAAATAAAACCAGTAAAATATATAAAAAAATAATAAAATAAAATAAATAAAAGACGCAGCAACACTCACGCGGTGTTAAAAATGAGAGAGTATAAGTGGGTTTTAAGAGGAGACTTAAGACACTCCACTGCCGATACGATACAAACCTCTATACACAGGCCACGATACGATACATAGCTCAATTCAGTGCACTTTCGGTTCGATACGATATGTTCTAGGTCGATTTGATATGGTTTTAAGCCTTTATTATTCCAATAAAGTCTTTGTTAAACCACTTCTTGTGCAAAGTTAATCTGAAACGCACCCATTTTAATCCTCAAAACAGTGAAAATGTCAAATGTGTCACTAAAAAAGCAACAAAACTGTATAATAGGGCTGGTTATCATTAAGATACATTGCCGATACAATACATATCTCGATACACAGGCTACGATACGATACATATCTCGACACAGTGAGCTTTCAGTTCCATATGGTATATTTCAAATTGATTCAATACGGTTCAATAAAAAAAAAAAATCTAAATAATAGCTGTGACACGAGTCTTTGTTAAACAACTTCTTGTGCAAAGTTCATATGAAACACAAACATTTAAATCATCAAAACAGTGAAAATGTCAAATGTGTTGCATAAACGAGTTTCCTTCCACTAAACAAGCAACAAAACTGTAGCGCTGTGAACAAAATAATTTAGTAAAATACACCAAAAAATACTCTTGGAGATACAGTATCGATACAGCAGCCCACGATATCGATACTGTATCATCACATTAAATGATACAGATCTGACCTGTAACTTGGTCTGGTTTGGTCTCGATGAAGATAGAAAGGTTTAATGCCGTACTGTGAAACATTCCAGACAAAACAATAACATGTCCACAGAGAAAACATTTGACAGACCCTCCACCAGAAAAGTTACACAGTGCACCTTTAAGATTTTTTCCGCAGAGCCCAATACTCACAAATCAGATTAATCAGTAAACGTAGATTTGTAGTTTTAAAAAAAGCACAGTTCTGAGCATACCATTATTGTGTCCTTGAGCAAGACACTTCATTTTCTTCATTTTCATTGTCTGCAGTTTGAGTGAAAATAAACGCAATGCTTCAAAACACATCCAAACTTATTATTTCTATAGCAATCCGCAAACACAAATACAAGGGATGTAACGATATCCAAATCTCTCGATACGATATTATCACGATATGCATCTCACGGTATGATATTTATTACAATATTTTGGAGAGGCTGATGATATAATTGTAGATATGACACTTTTTTTGCTTTTAAAATACCTTGACAAGATTTTGGTGTGAATTATTTCTGTCATAATCCCAAGAATTCAAGTAAAAAACATATTTCTTCATGGTATTTGCACTGAAATGAATCATGGGATATGTAGTTTCCGATGTTTATAAGCTGTTGCTACTATAAAACCATGCATTTAAGCAAAAGAACTTGTAATCCGATATATTGTGAGACTTTTGACGATACGATATCACGATATTTTGGTTATTGTTACATCCTTAATAAATACATCCTGTTTTAATGTGTAGCACTGTACTATCTGCTGTTTCTGAGGTTGTGGGTCTAACTCTCACTGGGTTTGCATCTATTTTCTGAAATGTATTCCAAAAAGGAAGCTGATCTTTTTCCTGGGCTGATTTCCTAACAGTCACATTTTAATCATGACTTTTTCTTGCACTAATCACATCTCCTTCACATCTTTTCAATAAACACTCTTGCTTCTCTCCCTCCTCTTTCTTTCCCCTCTTCCCTTTTTGGTGTTTTCTGCCTGTTTTCTTCCTGCTGCGGCGACGTCACTGGTTGCCTGGGCTGTGATTGGTCGGGCTCCGTGGCTGTCCTCTCCTCTGATTGGCCGCGTCCGGGGCGTGCTGCGTGCCGATTGGTTAGGAGTACATCCGTAGGCAGCTGGAGGAGGAGCAGAGGCAGCTGGAAATCCTGCAACAGCAACTTTTACAGGAGCAGGCCCTGCTTCTGGTAACATCACACTGTCGCACCCTGAAGTAGCCCACGCTTAATGAGAAAAGATCTTCATTATTCTCACAGAGGACACATTTTCTTAAGGCAACTTTTAATAAATGATAAAACATAGATCATAAAACAGATTATAACTTAAGTGTGTAGGCATGTGATCAATATTCAGAGTAAATTACTGTAATAAAATGAGGAAATTTTACTAGATTAGAGTACAAAATATTCTACTCATGCGTTTCAACTTCCTGTTTATTATTTTCCCGATTAAAAAGATGTCATATTTTGTTTTGAATTGTTAATTTCAACAGCAACTGTGCTACTTTTCCCACATTTACTTTTAATTCCGATTAAAAATAATTTAATTCAGAATAGAAATTAATTCCGCTTTAAAAACAACATGTAAACACTTAATTCCTAATGATTATTCGCAATTAAACTTATTTGGAATTAAATGGGTTTATTCCGATTTTAAAGTGAAATTAATGTATTTGGTGATCAAAAAATATTTTTTTCTAATGTTTCTAATGTTTTCTTCCAGTTGACATAAATACGTTTGTGTCCTTGTCCAATCAGAACTCTTCCCCACCACTAGACATTGAGTGGAATTAAATAAAGCCGATTTCACATGTTTTCCATGTAAACCTTAATTCGGAATTATTATTTCCATGTAAAGGAGAATAATTTAATTCTGAGTTAATTAAATCGGAATTAAAAAACATCATGTAAACGTGGCCATTTTGTACTACTTTGTACTACCCATAGATATGTAACTGTGCAAAGCACAGTGTAGTGAAAGGTGTTAGTCAAAGCCACAGGTTTCAGAATGATAAGAAGTTGGGAGTTTTGAAATAGAAATCGAGCCAGGCTGGCCCCAGCTAGTGCCTCTGCTCAATTTAATTTCTCTTCAGTAACTAGGTCAGGAATCAGAATACACTTGACAGTTTGCAAGAACCCTGGAAGTGCGAGTTTGGGCACCAGCCAATCAGTGAAGAGACATACATTCTGTGTTGGCAACGATTCTTGAGAGAAAGAGAATGTTTGGTGAATTTTATCAAGGGGAAAGATGTTATGAAAAGCTTAATATACCAGCCCCATTACATACGTCACGACCAAATAGCAGCGATTGGTTAAAATAAAAAAGTACCCGCCTACTGTCGAGTGAATGAATTCTAATGCTGCGACGGTTTCCACAAAGTGAAACCGGCTGATGAATCAGGCTAAAAGAAATCAAGAATTCAAAACAAAAAGTCTCTTGAATGGTCCCTCAAAAAGTCCTCAAAATGGTGCCAATCACGGATTTTTAGTCATCATTAGTAGATTAGATTCATGAGTACAACAGTTTTCAATTTGGGGTGTGCATTGCCATGAATCTTGCAATAGGATACGCATCACGATATGCCTGTCACGATTCAATATATCCTGATCGTAAAAAAAAAGGATGATATATTGTGACTTATCAATAATTATGTGTAATATTTTGGTCAAGTACACATTCACAAGAACAAAATAGAGTGAAATACAGTTTGTGTAATTTTTAAATCATGAGAACACTGAATTGAACTTATTTTCATCATTATTAGAAATCAATTCAGACACATTTTTAATCGATACAAAAACCAAGAACAAAGTATCGCGATATATCACTGAATCGATATTTTCTTATTTTATATTTTCTAGCTACAATACACAAAAACATAATAAGAGCCACTAAAATCAACTGAGATTCAACAAAAATGTATTAACCAAAGAAAAATAACTATTACAAATGTTGCTCCCTTTAGTTCTTTCCACTTTATCTTGGGTAATAAACTTCCCTTGTGTTTACCCCAGGGCATTTGTGGCTACAGAAGGACTTAAGAACCAAAGTATGACTGAAAAGTGAATGAACAATGCACCACTATTTAGTCCGAACATCAGTGTCCAGTGGTCAGTCTGTCCTTGGGTTTCAGAAAGATGAAAAACTGGGCTCGTTGCCATAGTAATTAACAATTCAAAACAAAATACACTATGTTTTGAGTGGTGAAAAGTCCTCAAAATGTTGCTTATAACAGGAAGCTGAGACGAATGAATACCAAAGCCTCTACAAGAAAATTAGTATGATTAATATTTCCAATAACAGATGAACAATTGACAGGATATTAAAATGTTGTAGTTTGTCTGAAAAGTTCTTTGCGATGTCATATGACGGCTCGGGCTTTTGGCTTGGTTCTTGACACGTTCTGCTTCATTTTCACGTGTTCCTCTCATAAACGGTGACCTCTGACCCCGGGCCCCTGACAGGACGCCGTTAAAAGTCAGTTTGGACACTTTCAAACTCGACTCTGTCAACACCGTCGCACAGAACCTCATCTAAAGTCTGATCCCGATTTATAACATATATTTACTTATATTTGATCATTAAAATAAGGAATGGGTTGCATCAGATTTTTATACGAAGGTGCATATTGTTACCTGCCTTTAAAAATCATTTTTTTCCCCATTCCTATATATTTTTACACTGAAAAAGTTCAATTTCTACCCTAAATTAATGTTTATGATAATAATATAACATGATAATTACACTTCTGTTGTTCTAATGTGACTTATCCTACTCTTTTGCTAATTTTTACTGTAAATTACACAGAGAAATTGTGATATTTTGCGATTAATACTTTGGTCTACTATACTGGGATTTAAGTATTAATATTTTCCAGCTGACGTCATCAACATTTCTTGGGGGTGTGACGCTAACTGTAGGCACTGCTCTGTCTGAGGCTCTGTTAGACTTTAATGTGAGCTTTATTTTTATTAGCTGAAATTATAACAGGTTAGTTGCTCTCACACCTAAACATCTAAACCAGGGGTGTCAAACTCATTTTGGTCCGGGGGCCGTATCCAACCTACTTTGATCCTAAAAGGGCCGGATCAGAAAACTCATGGCATACAAACCCCAAAAATAACAATAAGTTCAAATATTTGTGCAGAGAAACGCAAATCTATTACAGAAAATCTTTTTAATTGATGAACTCTTTCTTTTACAAAATATTATAATATCATGAACAACCTGAAACTTTAAGAAAAATTTAATTTCAACACAATATTTTAACATTAACTTCTAATAAGTAGGAATAAGTCCATTTTTCTTGTAAAATCCTGCACTTGGCACCCACTTTTCTAATTTTTGACATTTTTCTGATGAGGATGTCATGGTCAACAGTCAAAACGATCGTCCTTTAAGAGACAAGTCTTCATTTGTGCTGCTCTGGTGGGAGGGGCCACGCACAGAGACGCTGCTATGATAAACACTGCAGAAAGTTACCAATATTTTAATAGAAAATATAATTAAAATATTTTAGTAGAAAATCAACTGAGGGCCAGATTAAAGGTCTTGGAGGGCCGGATCTGGCCCCCGGGCCATATGTTTGACACCCCTGATCTAAACATTACCATGAACGCCAATAGAGATACATGTAGAACACCTCCAGTGTGACGTCACTGCAAAATATCAATTGTTTTATCTGTGTCCAGTCCCGTGTTTTTAAATGCATCATATTGTTTTAACTTCTTGTCCCCGTAGGAGTACAAGAGGAAGCAGATCGAGGAGCAGAGGCAGGCGGAGCGGCTGCAGCGACAGCTCCAGCAGGAGAGGGCGTACCTGGTCTCGCTTCAGCAGCAGCAGGAGTCCAGACCCCAGGACAAAAAACAACTGTACCACTACAAAGACCAGGCCCCCGGGAGCAACAATGACAAACCGGCCTGGGCCAAAGAGGTACCACACTGTTCTGTTCTGATATATGTATGTGATATTAGAAATGAATGGTAAAATAATCACCATTTGTCCATGTGCAAGAAATAAAAAGCATTATTAGGGCTGCAAATACTTACTTAATGGTGACTAACTGAGTTTTTGAGTTTTGAAAATGCTATGTTCGCCAAAAACAACTTAATAACATGTTTTATAAGTTTCCCTTTTCGTTTTTGACATTCGTGAGTCTCGCATCCCTTTGGTCTCCACGCTAATTCACTCCCCCTTCAGAGCAATATTGCAACACAATCTGCGTGCATCCTGCTTGTGAAACTACAGCACATCACATCAGGTTTGTCAGGTTGTGAAGCATGGGTAATGTAGGCTCGGGAGCTGAGCATTGCACAGAATCTTACTGCTAAATGTAAGAAGGGTTTGATTAGGGCCCGGGAGAGATCACTAAATTACTCAAACATGCATGGATGACATATAAAACCATTACAGCAAGGGTCTCCCAGCTTCCAAGTTGCTCGCCAAAGGATTTCTGAATTAAACATATTGTGCTAATGACTACAATTTGATTAATTAAATGCTTATTACTATTGGAAATGTATAATTTTGATGCATAACTTTGTGCACTAATAAATAGATAATGGTTTATGTTCTTGCTCTTTCGTACGATCTCTAAAACTAGTAGCTCTCTGACATTTTTGTTTTATAAATGTAGCTCACCGGAGAAAAAAGGTTACACTCTACAGGCATGTTTTTTGATGACTGAAAGGTTAGAAAACTCGATTTGGCCTAATACCCCTTCTTTAACTAATAATTTAGTTTTAACACGTGAAATTAAATAACAAATTGACACTAAATGCAAATGACAGTTTTGTAATTGACGAAAAATGCCCAGTTTTGTACATTTTTACTATCAAGATATTCTCAAGAGATTTGTTTCACCTTGGTCTGGTTTTAAAAAACAAAAACGAATCAAACGTATAATAAAAAACAATAATCTGACGAGACTATAAATGTAAGAATACTGACTGACTACTAAAACAGTAAGTTATTGCAGCCCTACAAACATAATGCTGATATGGACCAAAGACAAAACCTCACTGATTAAATAACTGCTCATGTTTATTACTTTAACCCCTTAATGCCTCAATTTATAAAGATGTATATAAAAATGTTGTGTGTGTATTAAAATGAGATTATTAATTTGACTATAGCAAAATAAATAAAAAGAAATTTGGGTATGGTGCAAAATTTGTGACAACTAGAAACAAGTGCTCGCCAAAGGTTCGTAGGAAGGTCCTGGAGGAAGCAGCCGCTATCTCGGCTTATGTCTTGATCCAAACAGTTTGTTGCTTATTTGTGACAGTCTGCGTTAAGGGGTTAAATACTGATGGCCTAAACCCGCTGATTTACAGGTTTGACCCAGCTGAAAAGAGGATTTATCTTTTCTGCTAGATCTCTTTCTGGTTTCTTTGTTTGTTGATTCCAATGTAATAAATATTTCTTACTTCCAGCTTCACCAACAAGACCATAATCAATTAATACAGTATTTGAGTACAGATTTTACACCAGAAGGATTGTCTAAACTCACATGTGATTATAAAAGCTCCACTGTGTAACTTTCGCTTGCGTGATTCAGTGGAAAGAGAAAGTTAAAACATATAGGCCCTTTTTCAGGCCAAGAAAGGTCATGTTTGTGGAGATACAAGTCCACTCACATTAAGTACACGTATTTCAGTGCAATAAGAACATCCAAAATAAAAATAAATAAACTAAATAAATAATGCTTTCATTTTAGACTATGTTCTGGCTAAGGCTGTGTAGTTAATTGGATTTTGATCACAATTTCGATTTGTGTCAAATGATCCTCAAACTCATGTAATTGAGTTGAAACAAAAAAAAGTTTATTTGGGGATAGTTTTTTTTCTATGTAAATATAAATATTTATTTCATTTTGTAAATATAGAGATTGTAGGACAGCTGGATATAGTTTATTTTTGATACATTTATGTTTTTCTCTGCCTTATTTCATGTTCAAAGTATATTTTATTCATTTTATGTTTTATACATCGCAAAACTGCTCTAAGGTTCATATTTGTAGCTTATATTTATTTTCAGTTTGAAAGTTTTGCATAAATTATCAGTAACACAGTGTTTTGGGTTTTTTTTAGAGAGAAATAAATGTATCGTGTAACTAAAAAATAATCGTTTGAATAATTGTGATTTCTAGGATTGTGCAAAAATACTGAAATATCGATATATCGTATCTTTTAATGTGATGATACAGTATCGATATCGTGGGCTGCTGTATCGATATATCACTAAGAGTATTTTTAGGTATATTTTACTAAATTATTTAGTGTAAGAGCTACAGTAGAGTTGACATTTTCTCAGTTTTGAGTAAAATGGGCATTTTTCATATTAACTGTGCACAGACTTTGGGGTTTAATAAAGACTTTTAGTATCAGAGCCATGATTTAGCCTTTGTTTTTCACTGAACCGTATCGAATCAATTTGAAATATATCATACCGAATCGTACTGAATCGATAGTGCACTGTATCGAAAAAACGCATCTTATTGTCGCCTATGTATCGGCAAATTCTTAACGATACCCAGCCCTGGTGATTTCAATATTAACCAAAATAATCGTGATAATGATTTTTTCCATAATCGTGCAGCCGTTCTGGACAAAAAGTTACACAGTGGGGCTTTAACTTTTATTTAGGAACATAGCCACTTCTCACATTTTTATCTTTTTATGTATATTTAATGGTTTTATATCCTAAATAAACCTAACTGACAAACTACAGGTGATGCGCCGCGCCCAGAGCAATTCTCCTCGGATTCCCCCAAAGAAGTACCACTCTTTCAAGGAACCCCGGGACCCAAAACAGCTGGAGAGCCTGCTACCGCCTCCCTGGATACAAGCCCCGCCAACGCCCCCCTTCCTACCCCGTCCACGTCAGCCCGACCCGGGACAACCACCACCTGCCCCTCATCCGAATCACCTGCATGCCAGAGGGCGCCACTAGGGGGGGCAGTCCCGCGTCCAGAGAGGGAAAGGAGAAAGCCTGGGGTCCCGAGGCTAGACCGCGCAGTGCAGAAGTTAGCGGCTGGAGTGGGGATGGAAGGGGGAGGAGTTCGGACGACGTCAACCTTGAGGGGGCGCAGCAACGGGTTTAAATCGGGAAGTGATAAGGAAAAAGGGTTTGGGCCGGAGATGAGACCACGCAGCGCAGAAGTGAGAGGGTGGGAGCCGGAAAAAAGAGCCCCGAGTCCAGATCTCGTGAACTTACAGCGGCGGAGTTTCGGGGTGGAAAGGCGATGGAGTCCGGATCTGAGGGAGCGGAGTCCAGGCTCGAGGGGAGGAAGCGCAAGGGAAAGGGGGTGGAGTCCCGATCTGAGGGGGCGGAGTCCGGGCTCGAGGGGAGGGAGCGCGAGGGAAAGGGGGTGGAGTCCCGATCTGAGGGGGCGGAGTCCAGGCTCGAGGGGAGGGAGCGCGAGGGAAAGGGGGTGGAGTCCGGATGTAAGCAGGCGGAGTCCGGAGAGAAAAGGAGGAAGCACGAAGGCAAAGAGGTGGAATCCATTCGCGAAAAACGTGGAACCAGACTCGAGGGGGCGGAGTCCAGATCGTCGGGTTAGTCGTCGTGACAACAAACAAAATCTAATCTCTTAATTAACTTCTTCTTTTTCCAGCTACTAAAACTGGCGACTAACAATTTGTATCCCTACCTGATTTGGACGGTTTTACTCGTCATTCATTTATTTTACCCTTCATTCATTTGTAGATAGTGAAACTGAAGTTTAAATTGATTTTATGCCTTTTACAATTACCGTAAATGTTAGGTAATTTAATCACCTTAGTAATTTACTCACTTAGCTTTCCGTGTATCATTCGTTCTTTTGAATTTCAATTAAGAACGAAAAACACTAAAATGGGAAAACAGTTTTTTATTTCATCATTCCGTTCTAGAGTCAAACAAAAAAAAAAACAGATTTCGACCTCTATTTCCAATATTTAATTTAAAGTTTATTTCAAATAACACCAATCAACAAAACCGCCTCAGTGCCTATTTTAATTTTCATATTGTATTCTTTTCTCGCAACAAAACTTATGGGGCAAATAAACCAGAGAGAATAAAATATCAAAATTAAAACAGGCACTGAGACTGTTTTGCTAAATTGGTGTTATTTGAAATAAACTTTAAATTAAATATTGGAAATAGAGGTGGAAATCTGTTTTTTGTTTGACACTAAAACGGAATAATGAAATAACAAACTGTTTTCCCATTTTATTGCTTTTTATTCTTAATTGAAATTCAAAAGAACGAATGGTACATGGACCCTTTCAGTGTATTCTGCTCTGCTCCTTTATATTCAGTTTATTAACATTTAATATCACACATTTTAAACATGTTTTTATAGGCTTTGAGTAGTGAGTAGGGACAGATGTTGCAGATTAGTCATATCCATTTTTTTTTTTATTTGTCTGTGACTTTAGGTAGTTGTATGTGTAAATTCCTTATGTGTATACACAAAAATAAGAGAACCATGAAACTATCAATATTAAATACATCCCACAGTTTAGCACCACAGAGTTTGGAGTGAATGAATAATGCTCAAAATTATAAAGTACCGTAATTTCCGCACTATAAACCGCTACTTTTTTTCACATTTTGAACCCTGCGTCTTAAACAACGAAGCGGCGAATATATGGATGGATTATTTGTTTATCAGCACAACGGATTCTCGCGCAGCCTGAGTGCAGAAAGTGTCGCTGTCTGTGCGATTAACGTGAAGTTTACAACAGTTTATTTCTGTGTCATAAAATAAGTTATGATGCTAAATGAACATTAGTGAGTCAGATATGTCTTAATAACCTGTACGTGTTAAATCAGGTGAGGGCGTAAATGACGAGAATAAACTCAAACTTCAGTAGCCGGACGTCCACTCGTACCTGATCAATAAAACTAGCCTCGCCCCCAGGAGAGTCTGAAATCTGCTGAAATCTTACAAGACACTGACATGATACAGACAAAACAGCGGCTCTTTCTGCAGGAGACATGCGCAGTAGAGCGAGAAGTGCCGTAGTCTGATAATCCGATAGTCGTAATACTGTCGTTTTATTGCCGAGTTACATGCACTGTTCAGAAATTAATAAAAATTCTGTGTAAATATCTAAAGTTATAGACAAGTGTGGCCTATATATGTACTTTTTTGTTTTAAAATTTAGTTGGTGCATCTTATATTCAGGTGCGCTCAATAGTCCAGAAATTACGGTAGGTTTGAGCATCTGAAAAAGTGGTATACATGATTTTTTAAATTGTTTTTATTACTTAAAAACTGTCCACATCGGGTAGGGAGGTCAACCACAATGTTCTTTTTACTATTACTACTTGACATAATCACAATCACGCATAAAATAACAAATTTCTACTTTTTTTCTAGCAACTAACCTTCTCTTACCTTCACAGAGTCGATAATTATCTGTAATATTATCTGTACTAACAAGGGGAACATTCTGTGCTGATCCTAAATATGTTTTTAATCTAATCTTTTCCAGACTGGGTCACTAACATGTAATAATTTCTCTTGTATCCAGGACATAGACTTTCTTCTGCAAATTAGACTCCTGCCTAATATATTAACCTCTTTTTCTTCAGCTTCAGCAGTTTCTTTTAATACTAACTCCTGACTGACTGTTTTAATCGATGGGTGTGTATTGATTATTGATTTGCTTATTTAATTGTTTCAGCACAAAGTTTCAAACCGTATTTCGGACCCGGCTCTGCCTCCACGCTCAGAGTCTTTCAGCAGCAGCATCCAACAGGCCAGGACCCCCCCAATGCACCGAGCAGTAGAGCCACAGGTGAGGACTGAACCAGGACTAAAACAGGACTAAACAAGGACTAAAACAGGACTAAAACTAAATTAAAACAGGACTAAACCATGACTAAAACAGGTCTGAAACAGGATTGAACAGGGACTAAAACAGGACTAAAACAGTACTATAAGAGGAGAAAACCAGGCCAAAACCAGGGCTAAAACAGGACTGAACAAGGACTAAACAGGGACTAAAACAGGACTAAACAGGGACTAAACCAGGACTAAAACAGGACTAAACAGGGACTAAAACAGGACTGAACAAGGACTAAAACAGGACTAAAACAAGATTAAAACAGGACTAAACCAGGCCAAAACCAGGGCTAAAACAGGACTAAAACAGGACTAAACAGGGACTAAAACAGGACTAAAACAGGACTAAACAGGGATTAAAACAGGACTGAACAAGGACTAAAACATGACTATAAGAGGAGTAAACCAGGCCAAAACCAGGGCTAAAACTGAACTAAACCAGGACTAAACCAGGACTATAAGTGGAGTAAACCAGGACTACGCCAGGAATGAATCAAGGTGAACTAAACCAGGACAAAACCAGTGCTGAAACAGGAATAAACCAGGCTTAAAACAGGACTGAACAAGGACTAAATCAGGACTACAGGATTAGTAAACCAGGACTGAACCAAGGCTAACTAAACCAGGTCAAAATCAGGGCTAAAACAGGACTAAACCTGGATTAAAACCAAAACTGAACCAGGACTGAACCAGGACTAAACCAGGACTAAAAGAGGTCTAAACCGGGACTATATGAGGACTACACCAGGACTAAACCAGGACTAAACCAGGGCTAAAACAGGACTAAACTGGGACTAAACCAGGAGTAAACCAGGACTAAACTAAAGTGAACCTGGACTAAAATAATGCTAAACCAGAACTGAACCAGGACTACGCTATAGGACAAAACTAAGGACAAAAAGAAGATTAAGCAGAGTCTAAACCAGGACTAGAACAGGACTAAAAGAAAACTAAACCAGGACTACAATAGGACTATACCAGGTAGAAATTATTGGTCAAAATTTTGCATTTAAAAAACTTAAAACAGACAAGACCAGACAATATATAGATAAATAAATTAAAACACTGACTTTTATCGGCATATAATTACAAAACATAAACATTTAAATTTATTGGGTTGATGGTTCAAAGTCTCCCTCTGCCATAAAGCGATAAATACTGGACCAGGGACCGGACCAAACCAAGACTTTGCACCAGTAGCATGTTTTTAGTTTCCTTATCCTTCCTCTCCTTTGTCAAAATCACATTCCTGCTACTTTTGTCCTGCATTTATACAAACCCAAATCTAACCGTGCACACCCTCCTCACCCTCTCCACCCCACTGCCCCGCCCTCTTACCCCCCTTACCCCCCTTGCCCCCCTTGCCCTCCTGCCCCATGTCTGTTCAGATGGCTCACCTGGTCCAAGTGAAGAGCCACGGTTTGTCTGGCTCTCAGTCGCTGTATGACCCCCACGGCGTCTCCTCCTCCTCGACCTCCGTGTCCCCCTCGCGGCCCCCCATGCCCCGCCAGAACTCGGACCCCACCTCAGACACGCCCCCAGCCCCGCCCCTCTCCCGCCTGGCCCCGCCCCTCGACTGGCTGAGGCAGGACGAAGACACGCCGCCCAAGGTCTCTGCATGCTCCCGCCGTTTACGAGTCTGTGCATGTTAAAGAACCCGGGGTATGTGCCGCCGAGGGGAGGGGGGGAGTCCGGGACGGCTGCGCTGAGTGAACGGATTCTTGTTTTCATCGGTTTCAGCTTGTGTTTTGCATTTTGACGTCATTTCACCGTTCAAAGATGTTTGTTTTTTTAATTCCTATGGCAACAGTCCTACGTTTTCATCCTTCTGAAGCCCATGGATAGTCTTAATGCACAAGTTAATCAAAAATATATTATAAAATCTTGTTTATTTAGGCGCATTATGTAACTTTTTGGTTGGGAGTTTGTTTCTTTACCCGGAACGTTCCACAGTATGACATTAAACAGCTCTACCTTTACATTTATTCAATTAGAGGTGGTTTTATAGCTTAAAAATACCTAGAAAATCAAGCATTTTGTATATGAACAGTAACTTGATCTGGTTTTCAGGGTAGCCGCGGGGTCTTAAAAGTCTTACAAAGGTCTTAAATTTCATGTTCCTAAATTAAGGCCTTAATAAGTCTTAAATTATGTTGTCCAAGTCTTATTTTTTCACAAAGATCTTAAATTTCTTTAGCCTATTTTGTGTAAACTCAACCGGGCTGCAGTGCAACTTTAAATGGAGGGAAAAAAACAAAAACGTGAAATCGTGTTAACAAAAATTATGACTTAAATTATGTTGTCCAAGTCTTAATTTTTACATTTCATTAGCCTATTTTTTTGTTTACTTAACCAGGCTGCAATGCAACTTTAAATGGAGGAAAACAAAAACAACAACGTGAAATCATGTTACGTGAATGAACGTCTAATTTGGATTATGCGCAAACAATACTTTGGTTTCTGGTGGCGGCGGCGATGAGTAAACAATCAGTAGAGTGGAGGAAGACGTTGGATGGATCATGGGAAAGTGTAGGTTTAATCCACAGTGGCTCTTAGATTCTAGATAATAGTTGTTTGGTCATTATTAGAATTGGATCTGGTGTTTTTCGCCCGCATAATGGGTGCAATGTTGGTCTTAATTTTCTTAAAAAGGGCTTTAAAAAGTCTTAAATTTGGGGTAGTCAAACCTGGGGATACCCTGGTTTTGTTTCCATGAAGATAGCAAGGTTTTTAAGACTACACTGCATGAAAATTTAAGATATAAACACTTAAATCTACCAGAAAATGACTTAAAAGTAGTGAAATTATCTGTCCATGCAGCGAGATAATTTGACTTTACAAGTTTTCTTAAAATAAACTAACCCTAGACTAGAATTAAGCATATTTATTGAAGAACTAGTAAGTAGAAAATAAATCTGAAAGCAAGTTTTTACAAGTTGATATGCAGTTTTAAAATCTTGACCAGATCAGAGAAATTTGCAGCGTGTATTGTGGAACTTTCCAGACAAAGCAATAATATCTTAGAGCAGAGGTCTCCAACGTTTTTCCTCCAGTGAGCTACTTTTAGAAAACGAAAATGCCAGAGAGCTACCTATTTTAGCAGTCGCAAGGAAACTGGACACATATAAGACCCTCGGCGATCCTTAAACGCAGAACAGTTAGATTCTTATAAAACATAAACCATTATCCACTTATTAGGGTATAAAGTCAGGCATGAAAATGATACAGTTAAAATGGTAATTAATCAAATTTTACTTCAACACAATTCAACACAATACATGTAATTTAGAATTCTACTCCCGAGAAAAGAATTTGATGGACCCTCAACCAGAAAAGTTAAACAATACACCTTTAAAGGGATAGTTCGGGTTTTTTGACACGAATCTGTGTGTCATCCCCGTGAGCAGTGTCGTGCATCCACACCGACTTACCCCCGAAAGCGTCCGGTGAGCCCAGATACTGGACGATTTCGGTGCTGACGAAAGTAGTCCGGCAAGTGGCTGGGGACATTAAAATAAAGCGTTTTTATTCTCAACAATATGTGTTCAAAAGAGTGATACATTTGCGTCACATAACCATGGTCGGGCTGCCATACAGATTTATGTCAAAAAACACGAAACTATCCCTTTAAGCTTAATGCATAATAATAAAATTTTTGTATTTATTGTGAAGCAGCTTTGTGTTACATTAAAAAAACAATGTATTATTATGACTTTAGTAGTATTTTTAAAGCTAGAAAATCCACTTAAAGCAGGAGTAAAGAACATATTTCAGAATGAACACTTAGCCTCGTCTCACTGATGTTGAAATATGACAAAGAAACAACTGTGTGGGATAGTTACAGGCAGATATTACAATTAATATCTGACTGGACAAAAAGAAAGTGCTCTGGCAATTATTTAACAAAATACTATCTAAATGTGATATCCTTCAAGTTCACTGCGTAATATTAGGACATTTACTTGCCCTAGAAGAAATAAAAGCTTGGCACAGGATCATTAATAAGTAAAATGTCATTCGAATACAACTTTGAACTTTGAAAATCAATTTGAAACCACTAAAATTATAATAAAAGCCTGTCATTGTCAACTTCTACTTACAAACAGCCAACATTTTCACTCTAATATTGAAGCTCGGTTGACAGTTTTCTTGTGTGTCAGGTTCCCCAGAGGACGACCTCCATCTCTCCGGCTCTGGTCCGAAAACACTCCCCAGGAAACGGGCCGGGCCTGGGACCTCGAGCCGGAGCCCACCTGATACGGGCCAGGTACGTACTGAGGTTTAAAGCGCCCATATTACGCCGTTGTCTCATCTACAGTATGTTTTAATGCTGTTTCCTCGTCACAAACAGACCTGGAGTTATGTTTTTGTTTCATTCACACATGTTTGACTCTCAAATCCTGCATATTTAGGCCGAGTTCTTCTCTCAAACTGTGTTCCACCTTGTGATGTCGTGATAACACCGTGTTCTCTGTGTTTTTAAAATCCATAAATCTTCACTAGAATCATTTGGATAATTTCAGCCCTGGAATTGCTCATCTCTACTGAACAAAAGGTAAAAGGAACAGAGTATTTTGAGCTTTGGAGATGTAGACAGGCTAATAATAAAGGACTCAAACATGTGTGAATGAAAAGTAAACACAACTCAGGTCTGTTTTTGAGGAGGTAAAAGCATTATAACATGACTTAAAGCTCACAAGAGTCAATTTTGCGTACAAAGCCTGCAAAAATAATGCTTTTTGTCTTGTGTATTGCCAGTTATATATGCACAATTTTATCCAAACAATATCCGCTAAAGCACAAATTATCACCAAATCAAAAGTCTAAGAAACAATAGTAAAACCTGTATTCAAAGTGAACCACAAGAACACATTTTCCAGGTGTCAAATCCCTCTGAAGCTTAACCTTTACCACTTACACGCCCCACTGTTTCCTCTGCTGTTATTTGTCACCGCCGCGGCTTGGTCCTGATGCTGTGTTTGCGCGTCGCCGTAGCAACCCGGACCTGCGGAGGACGGACGTTTCCATGGATACGCCCCTGAAGAGGACGAGCAGTGGCAGCTCCTCCAGCTCCAGCACCCCGAGCTCCCAGGGCGGCTCCAACGAGAGGGGTAAAACATCTGTACACGGGGTTATATTTAGTACCGCAGACAAACAGGGAGAGCTGAAATCAAGAGTGAATCAATGCTCAAGGTCGAATTTGTATTTATTTATTTTTTTATAGAGGATTAAAAATAGCAGCCACAGACACAGAGAAGGAAAGAGAAATCTGATCTAGGGTTAAAAGTATCGAAAATCAGATACTAAGCGATAATGAAACTAGTATCAAAACTGGATACCGTTTTTTTTCGGACTATAAAGTGCATTAAGCGAAACAAAAATAATTCAAAACTTTATTCAACTCATTCACAATAACTCTCAAGATTGTTCAGTTGTAACACAAAATACAAAACAAAACACTCACTTTTTCAGTTTGTTCTTAATCCGTGTATCATTCGTTCATTCGTTTTTCAAAATAAAACCAAAAATAAGAAAACAAGAAAACAACTATTTTCTTAATTATTTGTCTCCAAAATCAAAATGAAAAAAAACGTATATCTATTTTTTATTTATTTTTTTTTTTTTTCGATTTTGTGTTTGTTGGAAAAAATGGGATAGCGGCCGTTTCCAGTTTACGTGACTTAAACTGCGAATGCTGGACTGAACCAGGACTAAAACAGAACTAAACCAGGACTGAATCAGGACTGAGTGTCGGGACGGGCCTGGAGTTGCACCCGCATACACTGTCGGGTGATCAGGACGGAGACCCGGACCAGACCGGGACCAGAACCTTGACCAGGGACTGAGACCAGGACTGAGACCAGGACTGAGACCCAGGACTGAGACCTGTTTAGTCCTGGTGGTTCAGTCCTGGTTCAGTCCTTATGTAATGCAAAAGTCTGGCATTGCAGTTTAAGTCATGGAAATGGGAAACTGGTCCTGGCCTCAGTCCTGGTCTGGTCCCGGTCTGGTCCTGGTCTCAGTTCTGATCACCCAACAGTGTATGAGGCGCACCTCCGAGCCTGTCCTGACACTCAGTCCTGATTCAGTCCTGGTTCAGTCCAGCATCACAGTTTAAGTCACGGAAAGGGGAAACGTTATCCATTTTTTTTCCATTATTCATTTAAACAGAAGATCGAAAACTGAAAAAAACGAATCGTTATCCATTTTTTGATTTTGGTTTTAGGGACAAATAATGAAGAAAATTGTTGTTTTTTTCGTTTTCTTATTTTTGGTTTTATTTTGAAAAACGAATGAACGAATGATACATGGATTATTCCTCTTCCACAAATCTATCAAAGTTTAACGATTTCAGCATCAAGCATGGCCAGATCCCTCTCCTCATTACCCGAGTCAGTCTCGTCGCTGTTATTTAGCTGTTCAGTGATGATTCCAGCCTTCATGAAAGCTTGGACGACACCGGTAGCTGTAATGATCTGACAATCCATCAAGCGGTGCAGCTTCATAGTTTACCAAAGTCGTACAAAAATATTTTGACAGATTTTTGTGCGCTAAGTACCACATAAAAAAACGCATAAAATCGGTTTGAGGTCAGTGAAGCACACTCAGAATTAATACATAAGGCGCACTGCCGATTTTTGAGGAAAAATTAAGGATTTTATGTGCGCCTTATAGTCTGAAAAATACATTTAAGCAGGTATCAATACTAAAAAAAATCTTAAGTGAACCTTTTCTGAATAGCTTTAGAGTGATCTTGAGCTGTATCTGAACAAGTATAAGAGCACATAGACTAGTATGTGCACATAGAACCTACCTTCACCACTGAGGAATTACACAGATATAAGGTCACATGGGAATAGAAAAGAAAGTACTACTATTCAATACTGAAAATCACATTCTCATGTCTAAAGAAAGAGAGACAGAGTGGTTTTATTGTCATCATAGTATCAGAATCGGTATTATTAAATCTGTGCCTTAGTTACTGAAATCAAGTAGCATTGTAGTAGCAGTAGTATTGTGACAACACTATTTTGATCATAAAACCAGGAAAATACATGCAGAATTTAATACAAAATGTGCTATAAGTCATGAAATATAATTACGATAACCTAATAATGATAATGTAATGTTAATATCCAGTGAAAGAGGTAACACATTTGTACTATGGGATATTTATAGCACCATAGACAATCTGGGCGAGCTAAAATAAGACGATGAACACACAGAGAAATTCTCAAGGTTGAAACTTTTATGGAGGGTTAAAAATAGCAGCGTTCAGCCAAAGATAGTGAGAGAGAAAGAGAGATGAGCTCATATGAAACCAAGAAATGAATCAGGATTATTTACTACCAGGGGAAAGTATCTGTGTTACATTCAGGTGAGAGGCAAAATACAAATACAATACAAATAAAATATAAAAATAGTAAAAAGAAAATAATACAAAACATGCTAAAAATAAATAAATAAATAATAATAATAATAATAATAATCTATACATCATCATCATAATCAATAATAATAATAATAATAAACTAATTAAAATAAATGTGAAGGATATCAACCTGAATGTCCCAGATTTGAGGCATAAACACCACAGTAAAAATAGAAAACCAAGATTTAAAAATACAGCAAATTACACAAAATCAACAAAAAATATGATGAAAATATGATTTCCCTGTACATAACAAAAAGTGGAGTGTTAAAATTGACTTTCACAGAATCAATTTTAACATTTTATCAGGGTTTATATGAGTCCAATCTGTTCTAGAGTTAATTTAATTAAGTAACACTGGACCAAATTTCCTGTTTAACCCTGAAATCAAGAGTTACAGTATATGAACGTTTTGAAAGTAAACTGGTAAGACTTTGTAGGGTTATCCTGATTTAGCTGAATAACACAAAGAGGTGTTTTATTTTTACACTTTATTTGAGTTAATTTAAGATGAAATTATGTACAAAACTGGTTCAAATAAAATAAACACTCAGATTTAATCGTACTAGTCTTAAAATAATAAAACCAGTAAAATAAAATTAGAGCAAAATCATAGAATAGCAATAAATAAATAAAACCAATAAAATACATAAAAAATAAATAAAATAATTAAGAGACACAGAAGACCACACAACTCACACGGTGTTAAAAGCCAGAGAATAAAAGTGTGTCTTTTTCGTTTTTGTTTTTTTTTTTTTGTTTTTTTTTCAATTCAAACAAATCTGATTATTATTATTTTGGCTTTTTTGCTATGACCAGATTTTAACATAATCTATTATTTTCAAATGCAATTAAACTAAGACTTAACCCTAACCAGACCAAAAACCAAAATCTGTAATTAAAGGTGCACTGCGAAGCTTTACTGGTGGACGTCCCGCTACCTGCTTGTCTCCATGGAAACGTTATTGCCTTTGTGTAGAATGTTCCACAGTTTATATTAAACCTGTCACGAGGGAGACAATCAGGTTACAGCACTATTATTGTACTATTATTGTAATTTTTGAGCCAAAGATACACCAAAAATTAATAAATACTAGACGGATATGTTTAATGTCATACCATGGGACATTCCAGGGCAAGTAATAACATCTCCATGGAGACAAGAAGGTACCAGACTCTCTACTAGAAAAGTTGCGCAATGCACCTTTAAAACAGAAATGAACCCTGATGCAGTTCTGTGTAAATTGGTCTGAAAACTGTTCTCTTCACAACATTAAAGGTTAAAAATGAAACCTCCCGTGACCCCTAATCCAGCCCCTCAGAGACCAGACCCGTTTCAGCTCGTTTCAAACAAATCAGGAGCACGGCCCTCGATGCAAAAACAATTCTACAATCACAAAATCAAGACTAGTGAATATATTTTAGTTTGGCTCCTTGGCGAGAACATCATTTGGATGCCGGCTTGATTGCATAATGTCGTACGAAGAGAGAGTGAGGACAGTTTAACAGAAGACAAACTTGAATACTGAAATTATTCTGTTATTGAGAATTTTAATAAAGACGAAATATGCAAAAGCTGACAACAAAGAGTCATTTGAGGTGAAATATAGTGGTTACAACGTGAAGTAAAATCAGAATTAACATGTATCTTTCACTGAATTCCAAAAACATACATTCTTACAGTGAGCGGGGTCGCCTTTCCACGGATCTGACCTGTAACTTGCCCTAGTCATGTTATCTGCTTGCCTCTATAGAAAAATATAAGTTTAACGCCAAACTCTGGAACATTTCAGGCAAAACAAATTAAGCAATAACATCTCCACGGAGGCGAGCAGGTTTCGCACCCTCTGCCGGAAATGTTACACAGTGAACCTTTAAAGCAACACTGTGTAACTTTCTAGAAGTGGCATTCCGTGGAAATAGAAAATCTTACTTTGCATCATTTTCCATGGAGCTAGATACGTTTTACGCCATTAAATGTGGAATATTATTGATACTTTGCTTAATCTTAAAACTAATGTGTGCGTTGTATCGCCACGGTAACTGCTGAAGATTCCACCATAGAGATTTTATATTGATATTATAAAATGGAGATATTAAAAGGAGCTTCATTCCAGCTACTATAGTACTTATGAATAAATTGTAGGGATGTAACGATATCCAAATCTCATGGTAAGATATATTCGTCTCTCGGTACATTATTTATTTCGATATTTTGTGGAGGCAACAAAATTGAATAGTGAATATGTTACTTTCTCCTCTTAAAATGCCTTGACAAGACCAAAGAACTAAGACTTAAAAGTGCTTAGAACTGTTATTTCTTCATGTAGTTTGCACCAAAATGGAGCAAAGGATCATGGTCGATGTAGTTCCTTCTGTTTTTTAGCTATTGCAGCACCATAACAATGAATTTAAGAAAAATAACTTGTGATTCGATATATTGTGATGGCCCACGATATTGTTGAGAGACTTTTGACGATACGATGTCACGATATTTTGGTTATTGTTACATCCCCTAATAAACTGTAATCTATTTATTTATCGATTTTAGTACCCTGTCTTGGAAAATTGTGTTTTTTATTTATATATTTAATATTTATTGTGATTTTTAGCCCAGCCTGATGAATGAATCGATTATTTATGGAGCAAAACCATTCTGCACTGGAGCACTGTAACACTTTATTTGTAATTGGGTACCATTCAGAAAACTGCCTATACAATACATACCTCGATACATAGGCCGCAATACGATATATATCTCGATACATAAGCCATAATACAATACATACCTCGATACATAGGCCACGATACAATACATACCTCGATACATAGGCTACAGTACGATACATATCTCTATACACAGGCCACGATACAATACATATCTCAATACAGTGAGCTTACGATTTGATACGATTCAGTACAATATATTTAAATTCGATTTGATATGGTTCAATAAAAAACAAAAGCTAAATCGTGGCTGTGACTGATGCATAAATAACTGATTCATTCAAAAATCACAATTAATATTAAAATATATAAATAAAAAACCACGATTTTCCAAGACAGGGTACTAAAATCAAATCAATCAATAAATAAATTACAATTAATTAAATGGTAGTGTAATAATAACCAAAATATTGTGATATTGTATCGTCAAAAGTCTCTCAGTAATATCGTGGGCTGTCACAGTATATCGAATCACAAGTTTTTTTGTTATTGTGGTTTGTTAAACCACTTCTTGTGCAAAGTTCATATGAAACACAAACATTTTAATCATCAAAACTGTGAAAATGTCAAATGTATCGCATAAACAAGTTACCTGCCTCTAAACAAGCACCAAAACTGTAGCGCTGTAACAAAGTAATTTAGTAAAATATACCAAAAAATACTCTTTCCGATATATCGATACTGTATCATCACATTAAACAATAAGATATATTGATATTTCTGTATTTTTTCACACTCCTAGTTTATCCTAGTGAAATGTGGAACCAGCCTCTCAAATCTGCAAAACAAATTTAGTTGTATCAATAACCAAAAGAGCAACGTTCCCATAGAAACAAACAGCAAGGGCCAACATAAGAGTCAGGTTTGTGGAGATGCAAGCCCCCTCAGGACACAGTTTTTCAGTGCAATAAAAACAAAAAAAAACATGCTTTTATTTGACAATATTTTTAGTTTATTTTCTGTCTAAAAAGTTACATGATAGGGCTTTAAATAGAGCCATGGTCAGCTTATTTGAAAACAGGTATTAACCGTTCTCCACCTTCTTCTTCTCTCTGTATTTCAGGTAAACACGAAGTCTGTACTCTGCCGCGCTCCCACGGCTCCAAAGAGGACCGAGAGGTGACCCGCCCCAGCCGACCCGCCGTGAGTCCGACTCTAAACACTGAACAAACGCTGCTTTTTACGACTCTCCTGACTGTCACCTGAACTAACCGCTCATGTGTTTCATTCATTTGCATCTCTCTGCTCCATCTCTCAGAGCTATAAGAGAGCTGTGGACGAGGTCAGTCAAATACATGTCTAATCTACCCACACTGTCTCTGTACAAAAATATAGACCACAAACTTTACACTTATTATTTAAAATCTTACAACAGCTCCTCATTTGTTGTGTGAGATAAAGGCACACTATGTAACTTTTCTTCTTTCTGGAGGATTTACCACCTGTTTGGTTCCATTTAGATGTTATTGCTTTACTTTACGGCATTAAACGTATCTATCTTGCATTTATTCATTACAACACAAAGCAATGCAGGAGTTTTTAATGCTACATTGCAAAAAACAATGTCTAGGCAAGTTAAAATTTACTTTATTTGAGTCGATTCAGCTTGACAAGTAAAATTATCTACCAATGGAGCAAGTGTGTTTTTATTAATTCAAGCAACATTGGATTTTGTTTCTTATTTTAAGTGCAAAAAATTGTTGTTTTTTTTTATTTTAATTCTAGCGAGATACAAAAAGTCTTGTTCCAATGGCAGATCATTTTATTTGTCAAGTAAAATTTACTCAAATCATGATAAAACTTTCTTAAATCAAGTCTTCCTAAGTTTTGCGGTGTGAAGAAATGTCTTGGAAAACGTGCAGTGGGCTCGCCTCTCACAGATCTGACCTGTAACTTGGCCTGGTGATGTCCCGCACTTGTTTTCATGAAGTTGGATATGTTTAATAGCCAGACTGGCGCCACCTAGTGCCTCTGCTCAATTTCATTTCTCTCCAGCGACTAGGTCAGGAATCAGAATACACTAGATGGTTCGCAAAAATCCCGGAAGTGCCATACATTCTGTGTTGGCAACGATTCCCGAGATCGACGATTTAAAGCTGGAACAAAGAGAATGTTTGGTGAATTTTGTCAAGGGGAAAGACGTTATTGCCCTTTTTCCTACGGGATTTGGCGCGTCACATACATCATGAGCAATTGATTAAATAAAAAAAGTACTCGCCTACCGTCGAGCGAACGAATCCTAATGCTGCAAGGTCAGACGGTTTCCACGAAGTGAAACCAGCTGATGAATCAGGCTATATTTTTAATGCCATATTGTGGAATATTCCAGGTAAATAACATAAGCAATAACATGTCCATACTCGTGACAAGCAGGTGGCATCCCCTCCACCAGAAAAGTTACATAATGAGTCTTTAAATTAAGTTTGAATTCCCAGATTGCTTTTTGATACATACTTAAAGGTGCATTGTGTAACTTTTCTGGTGTAGGGTTCGTCAGATGCTTTTCACCCTGGAGATTGTATTATTTTGTCTGGAATGTTTCACAGTATGGTATTAAACCTTTCTATCTTCACGGAAACCAAACCAGACCAAGTTACAGGTCAGATCTGCGGAGAGGCGACTCCACTCACAGTCAGAACGCCTGTTTTTCTAAGTATTTTTGAGCCATAAAACAACCTGTAATTGAATAAATGTAAGTTAGAGCTGTTTAATGTCACACTGCGGAACATTCCAGGCAGCCAATGACGTATCCATAGAAACAAGCAGGTGACAGGTGACAAAAAGTTACACAGTGCACCTTTAAAACTTGAATACATTGAGTAAAATTGTGCAAAACTGTATTGGGATTTTTGTAACCTGAAGTAATTAAAACAAAACAACTGAAAACTATGAAATGACAACACTTTTAGACTGACTTGAATTGAACTTGGACAAGGATTGTTTTTTAATTGATCTGTTGTGACAATTTGACTTGACAAAACAATGAAACAAGATGAAGTCTTTTGACAGACGTTCGTCAAAACACAGCCAATCCACAGTTTGAGAAACTGACTTAACACTTAAATTTTTAAGCTTTTGAAACCGAAATAACAAATAGTGCAGCAGGAAGTTTACAATATTACACTTACATATTTTAAGTACTGTACACTCTTAAAGTTACTCTACTTATAACATAATTTAAAGGTGCATTATGTTATTTTTAAGAGATTCATTTATCTGCTTGTCTCCGTGAAGAAGATGTTTTGCCTTTGTCTGGGAAAGCTCCACAGTATGGCATTAAAATGATCTAATCTCAATAGGGATGTAACAATAACTGAAATATCGTGATATCGTATCGTCAAAAGTTTCAATTATAATACCATAGGTGACCGTAGGTCACAATATATCGACTTACAAGTTCCTTTGCTTAAATGCATGGTTTTATAGTAGCAACAGTTTATAAACATCAGGAACTACATATCCCATGATTCATTTCAGCTCAGACAACATGAAGAAATATGTTTTTACTTGAATTCTTGGGATTATGACGGAAATTATTCAAAATCTTATCAAGGTATTTTAAAAGCAAAAAAGTGTCCTATCTACAATTATATCAGCCTCTTCAAAATATCGCAGTAAATATCGTACCGTGAGATTTGGATATTGTTACAATCAGTGTCTCATTCTTTCATTCATTTTTCAATATAAAACCAAAAATAAGAAAGAAGAAAAAAAAAACTATTTTCTTCATTATTTGTCTCCAAAACCAAAATGAAAAAATGGATAACGGCTGTTTCCCGTATCCGTGACTTAAACTGTGATGACAGACTGAACCAGGACTAAACCGTCTGTTTCAAGTCTTGGTCCCGGTCTCGTCTCAGTCTGGTTCCGATCTGGTCCTGGTCTGGTACCGGTCTCAGTCCTGGTCTGGTCCCGGTCTCAATCACGGTCTGGTCCCGGTCTGGTCCTGGCCTTAGTCCCGGTCCTGGTCCCAGACTCAGTCCTTGTCTGGTCCTGGTCTCAGTCCCGGTCTCAGTCCTGGTCCCGGTCTGGTCCCAGACTCAGTCCTTGTCTGGTCCTGGTCTCAGTCCCAGTCTGGTCCTGGACCTGGTTTAGTCCTGGTTTAGTTCTTTTCAGTCCATATGTGTCGCAAATGTCCGGCATCACAGTTTAAATCACAAAAACATGAAACGGCCGTTATGTGTTTTTTCCATTTTTCATTTAAAAACAAAATCAAAAACTAAAAAAAAAACTAAAAAAAAGAATAAACAAATGATACATGGATTTGTTACATCCCTGAATCTCACTTTTTCAACTAGAGGCATTTATTATTTACCTTAAAAACATGCTTTCTTATAGTGAGTGGGGTCCCCTCTCCACAGATCTGACCTGTAACTTGGCTTTGTGTCATCACCAAAGAAGATAGATACATTTAATGCCGTACTGTGAAAAGAAATAACAGACAGAAAAGTTACATAATGCAGCTTTAATATTGGTTTACAAAGGGCCATAATAGTTTTGAGTAATTTTGAGTTTCAGGTTTAGTTCGATACATTTCATTTATATCTCTGTCTCCACTCTTTCTTCCTCTTTTCTTTCTTTTTAGGAGGATCTGGTAAGAAAAACTAAAAAAAAAAAACTGCACTCACTGTCTCTTGTTTTCCTCCTTCACAAAGTTTAACCCTGAATGCCTCTTTAACCTGTGGTCCTTGAACGCAACACAGCAGCATGACGCACTGCTCACTGCCAGTTCGACACAGAGACAGTTCAGCCACATTATCAGAGTTTAGCTGCAGAATTTAATCTATTTTTTTAATCAGTATTTATTTTTTATTGTTTAAATTACAATATACCGATTAATTATGTCAGCTATTACTAATTTCTAATTTAATTGACATGGGGACAGGTCAAATTGTTATGTTAAAAGTCAGATTTTGTGAGGTGGTTTGATAAATATATTGATAAAGGAGTTTGACAATATTTAAATGAATAGATTCAACATTTGTGGCTTTTAAAAACACCACAAAATTGATTCAAGAATACTGACTACTGCCCCCATCTGGGAGAAAGATGTAACTGCAGTTTTATATTCTGAAAATAACCAATGTTCTGTATCTTATTCATTGTAATTTGTATTGATAAATGTAAAAACTTAATTATATTTAAGTTACTGACAAAAACAAACATTACTACACAGCCTGCAGCTTTCCCTATGTGAATGATTGAATGATTTTTCCTAAACAAACATATAAACTAACATTTTTAACAATAATCTTTGACTGAAGCATGCAAGTGAGTGTGTCCTCGTTGAGAACTACCCAAAGCTGTGCACAAAGATGTCTTTTGTTTTTGTTTATTTTGTGCTATGGGCCTGTTCGACAGTGAAACCTCGTGTAATCTTGATTTGCATGGGCATTTTGGCTACACATGCTACACAATAGTGATGTTTCTGTGGGTTAGAGTTACAGGACACAGGAGGACCAACACAGAAGAAAACACTGTCAAAGCGAATAAACAAAAGTGAAAATATGTCTTCACAACAGCCTCAGAAAGTGGTGACATGATTTAACCCCAAAGACGTTTTAAAAGGACTTAGATTAATATGGTGTGTTTATGGAGCCAATGCTGAAAATAATAATAAAGTTGGATATTTAGTTCAAAACAGTGAATCTTCTATATCACACAGAGTCACACAGGGCCTCCATATGAAATGATCCAATTATTTTGAAACAAGGGTGTCAAACTCAAATTCACAGAGGGCCAGAATTAAAAACTGGGACTAAATCGTGGGCCGAACTAAATATTTATTGAAAAATGTCAACAATATCTGCATGTTTTCTCTTCTTTCGAGATATGTAACGTTAAACCTTTTCTTTTTAAAATAAATGTTCAATAATAGTTTTGCTTAACTATTGCTTAAACAGAAAAGGCATAATATAAAAATACTAACAACATTTTAAATAAATAATGTTTATAGTCTATCAGTGACCGGTGGGCAGCTATAATACATGTTTGATATGATCTCGCGAGCCAAATATACATATACACACAAATACAACATATTTTACAAACTTGAATTGAATTGATGTAATGGCTGAATTTTAATACAGTTAAGAAAATGTTGTTAAAAGATATATATTGAGTCACTTTTGTTAATATGCTGGCCCCTACTGTACAGTACAATGCACCACACTTGACCCCCCTCACTGACCTATTTTTTTTTATTCTATAAATTACAATTACAAACAAATATTTAAATATATAAAGATATATCATATATATTTCTATTTAGTCAAGTCTTGTCTATTTTAAAGTCGACATACTATACTTAAACACACTACAGTACAAAACATGACCAATCAAAATGTGTTGTTGTCAGGATAATTACAAAACTCATAAAGAGGCTGTCAGTTTAGTTGATATTTTTTACCCCTAACTGCGCCACACTTCTCATTGAGTTAATTGTTCATTTGTTTAATTAATTCCCTCATTTTTTTTTATTATCGTGTATTTTATTTCCTTTCAGGACTTGACGGCTTTGGCCAAGGAGCTGCGCGAGCTGCGTCAGGGCGAGGAGACCAGCCGACCGCCGGTGAAAGTGACGGACTACTCTTCGTCCAGTGAAGAGTCCCACAGCAGCGAGGACGAGGAGGGCGAGGGGGGCAACAACGACGGGACTGTGGCCGTGAGCGACATCCCACGAATCATGTGAGGATATTTTAATTACAATTTTTTATTTATTTTTTTCTGTACCGTTTACATTGATATACATTTTGTGTGAAAAAAAAACTGTGCATATATTCATTGACTTATGTGGAGGAAAAAAGCACTGAATAAATTGCAAAGAAAAAATGATGAATCATGTGAGGATCTGACGGTCACACTGCGTTATGATGGATACAGGGAACATATACATCCATTTTATACCTAAACCAAAACATATTCATAATTTACTGCTAAGACTCTGTACTCATTTCCTCTTGTGGTTGAGAAAAATCTGTTACATGCAACATTCTGAGGCTTTTTCCCATTCAAAAAGATATAATATGTAGTTTAGGTAATCGGTATGACAACAGCTTTAAATCTTTACCAGTCTGAAACCCGTATCACTGGATTGCATTTATCCAATTACAGATGTTTTTGAAAAATACAGTATATACTATGTGTATTTTGCTTGGTGGAGCCGTGAAAACAGGGACACAAAGCACTGTTAAAGGGCCGTAAACAAAGAAAGATAGTTTGCTTTGGTCTTGTTTACAGTTTTTTGACAATTATTTAGAATACCCTGAATTCATTTACTGTGTTTTTTGGACTATAAGTCGCTCCAGAGTATAAGTCGCACCAGCCAAAAATTGCGTAATGAAGAAGAAAAAAACAAACAAGTCGCACTTTTTGAGGGAACCAGGAATCAACATTTCCTCTTGAAAGGCAAATCATAGTAAAAACACTAGAACAGAGAACAACAGACTGTTAACGTCACATATGAACAGTTCTTCAGATAAATATAACAGAAACAACAGAACAGAACAAGTTTACCAAACTCTCCATCTCACTCCAAATCACTAAATCCATTCAATTCTTCATCCTCTGTGTCACTTTTGAGCAACTCCGCGACCTCCGGAGGTAAACAGAGCGCCACTTCCTCTTCTGTGTTGGGGAGTAACAGATTACATGTACCGGAGTTACGTAATCAGAGTACAAATTATGAGTAACTGTATTCAGTTACAGTTACTCTTTCAGTGAGTGGTAATTGGATTACAGTTACTTTGTTGAAATAAATCGATTACATGGCGATATTTTCCTGTTTTCACATTTTGGCCTAAACTAGGACTAAAACCAGGACTAAACCAGGACTAAACCAGGACTAAAACCAGGACTAAACCAGGACTAAAACCAGGACTAAACCAGGTCTAAACCAGGTCTAAACCAGGACTAAAACAGGACTAAAACAGGATTTAACAGGATTTAACAGGACTAAACCAGGCTGCGTGGACGTGTCTCCACTTCTATCAATAATATTTTTAATAAAGTAAAGTCTGGGCTTTTCATTGTCTTTTAGCAGATAAAACATCTTATATTACCACATCCTCGTCTTTGCTTCTCTACAGTAAATCAAGTAATCCAAAGTATTCAGATTACGTTACTCACTCCAGTAATTTAATGGATTCTGTTACAAACTACATTCTGGGGTATGTAATCTGTAATCTGTAGGGGAATACATTTTAAAAGTAACCTCCCAACACTGTTCCTCTTCTGTGTAGCTGTCGTCAGACTCAGCATCAGTTTCAGTTAGAATTATTCCGGCCTTTCTAATGGTTTTGATGTCACTGAAGTCATACGCATTTTAAATTTTCATGGTACAGAAGTAATGTTGCGATCGACTGACATGATACAGACAGGACACAGGCTCTTTCTGCAGGAGACATGCGCAGTAGAGTGAAGTGACAGTGGTACAGGAGGAACAGGAGCAGCAGATACTGACACACGAGACTAGAAACTCTCGCCGCTGTCAGTGTGAAAATTTTAATATATAAGTTGCACCCAAACCATGAAAAAAAGTGCAATTTATAGTCCGAAAAATATGGTATATAGTAATTTTAAATGAGACTATACATTCAGTTTTTGTAGTGCACGTTCTGTTTGAGACATTAAAAATTTAAATGTTTTCTTTGTTTGTTTGTTTTTCAGGCCGGCAGCGAGTCAGGGCACAAACGAGTCTCTGGGCGGCTCTTCGGGTCAGAACGATTCTCACAGCGATTCTTTTGGAAACAGCTCCCAGGATTCAACACTGATGATGAGAGAGGTGAGTCAGAGGTTATTACAGAACTACAAAGGGATGTCCAATACAATATAATACTACAATATAATTTTCTTTACTGCAGATGAAATAATAACATGATGTAACAGGATCGGGGTCCCAGTTTGACATTTACGTTGGTTTAAAATCAACATTACAATAACAGCATAATAAACTAAATTAAAAAGGAGTTTTTTTGTTTGTTTGGTTGTTTGTTTGTTTCAAATATTAAACAAAAAAGATCAAATGCAGCTCACCATTTTTCTTTTCTTTTCATTTATTTTGAACTGAGAGTATAACTGATAAATGATGCTACATTTTGGTAATTCTGTCTATTTTCAGGCATAAATCTGATTTGATGTTTTTTTTTTACTCAAAATGATGTGGAATCATGTTATTAACATTAACGCCGTTTATAATCACCTACAGAACATAAAACATAGACTACAACACATGAACCAGGACTGAACTAGGACTGGTACAGGACTAAAACAGGACTGAACCAAGACGAAAACAGGATATGAACCAGGACTAAACCAGGGCTAAACCAGGACTAAACCAGGACTAAACCAGGACTAAACCTGGGCTAAACCAAGTCTAAACCAGGACTAAATTAAGGACTACTCCAGGACTAAACCAGGACTACTCCAGGACTAAACCAGGACTAACCAGGACTAAACCAGGACTACTCCAGGACTAAACCAGGACTAAACCAGGTCTAAACCACGTCTAAACCAGGACTACACCAGGACTAAACCAGGTCTAAACCAGGACTAAATTAAGGACTACTCCAGGACTAAACCAGGACTACTCCAGGACTAAACCAGGACTAAACCAGGTCTAAACCAGGACTAAATTAAGGACTACTCCAGGACTAAACCAGGACTACTCCAGGACTAAACCAGGACTAAACCAGGTCTAAACCAGGACTAAACCAGGTCTAAACCAGGTCTAAACTAAGGACTACTCCAGGACTAAACCAGGACTACTCCAGGTTTAAACCAGGACTAAACTAAGGACTACACCAGGACTAAACCAGTACTAAACCAGTACTAAACCAGGACTAAACCAGGAATAAAACAGGACTGAACCAGGACTAAACCAGGAATAAAACAGGACTGAACCAGGACTAAACCAGGAATAAAACAGGACTGAACCAGGACTAATCTTGGACCTGAGAGTCTCGCTCTCAAGTCCGAGACCTGGTTGAGCGACGGTGGGTGACGGCTGCAGTCTACGCAGGCACACCTCTGGACCCGTCTTGTTTTAGTTCTGGTTTAGTCCTGGTTTAATCCTGTTTTAGTCTTGTTTTAGCCCTAGTTCAGTCCTGGTTCAGTCCTGGACCCTCATGTCTCAGGTCACTATAGGAAAGGACTGCAGATTTCATGAGCCTATGCAGTTTGTTTTCACTGTTGCCAATAGCTCTGGTTTGACATTTAAGTTGTAGCTATTTTATATTTGTTATTTTGTTCTATTTCACATTGGGAGAGGTGGGCGGACGGCGTACCCCCACATACCACGCCCACTACACCCCTCTGAATATAAGTTAACTCCAATGAACTGCCCTGTCCAACATGGCGGTTGCGTCTTCAATAAGTTGCTCTCTGCCCTTTCCAATATGGCGGCCGCTGCGGTTTCTCTAGCAGCTTCTATGTTTCTCCAGAGGCTCAGACAGAGGAGGCGGAGCTCTGCCGTCAGCAACAGCACCCTCCCCGACCTGGTACAGCCCGGCCCCTCCCCGCTGGTCTCACCCGGCGACGCACCCGGGGCTCAAGTAGGTGGAGCAGCAGTGCCCAAAAATACCCTCCAAAATCCCTGAGCCTGACTTGATTTTTTACCTGTTTTGGTAGTAAAATCATCCCCTCCTCCTGCTCCACACGTTTGGTTCTTTACCTGCATCCTTCCTGACCCTGAAGAATGGATTTTGTGTCTATTTATCTCAAATAGTTGTACAGTAAAAGTGGGACAAGTTGTTTATTGTGACAGAAGATGAGGAAATGTAAGATTATAGATAAAAGCTGCCAGTTTATTTCCAAAAAACTGTGAAAGTGACTGGAAGAGCAACAAGTCACACCATAAAACCTTTAATTTTTGCACAGAAAATGTATGTTATTGGGTTTATACTATTCTTGTGGCCCTTTGTTTCTATAAAGGACTAATCATGTTTTATAAATTGAAGCATGAAAACTGAACAGAATCAAAATTAAACCTTTTCCCAAATTCTTGCAGCCCTGTTCCTGCTCCACATTTGGTTCTTTTCCTGCTACCAAACCCTATTTACAAATCTGTTTTATATGTCAATACCTGCCTTGATGATGTTTGTAGAAGAGTAACTCAATAATTGTTGTATATTTTTTGTTGTGTTCAGTTCGGGACGAGCAGCAGCGGAGGGTCCAAAGCCTCGTTCACTCCTTTTGTGGATCCCAGAGTTTACGGGACATCTCCGACAGAGGAGGATGAGAAGAACTCTGCTGCAGGCAAGGAGTTTTTACAACTGTTTTCCCTTCTCATTTATTACATTTAATGAATCATGTATTGTTTTAGTAATATTTATTCTCCTATCGTCAAGACGGCAGTGCTTTAAATATTGTCTACTGCTCTTTATTTCGTTTATGCTCCAATTTTATTTTCTTGACTGATAATTAGAGTGAGATTCGGTAGCATCGTATTTCCATTTTGGTATGAATGAAAAAGGTCTGGAAGGTAGAAATCAGCTCCAAAGTTTTCAAGATGACGTTAGGAGTTAGTCGTTTTAGGTCAATGTTGTGATTTAAAATGTCCGAACTATAAAATAATGATGTGCAGGTGTCTAACTACGAGTTTATAACAGACAAAAACATAACGTAGCTTATCAATTTGTAACATTCTCTATCCACAAAAAACAAAAATGTATAGAGAGTTCAACATCTTCTGATAGGACATATAAACTACAAGATAATTATTTTTTCATAATAGCATTAGTGGCATTATTCAGTTTTAAAAGTGTGCTAGTCGTCAGTGAAAAGGTGCACTGTGTAACTTTTGGCTGTGATTTGCTTCTCCTTAATTTTGGGGAGGCGTGACCCGACTTTGTGTCTTTGTGTGGGATTTTGAAACCTCTGCGCTCTGCACTCTGTGTGACTCTGGGCTGCTCTGTCAGATCGTAACCACCAAACCACAGTAACAGTCAATAAAACATTGATAGACGGAGTGACGGACACAGAGGCGCAAGATACAAACTTAGGAAATAGTGAAAATAGTGAGAAGACTTTATACTCACCTCTCATAAAGTTGTAAATTTAACCTGCAGCATCTCATCTATATTATCCATAGAAATTGTCCTCTGCAAATAATGACATCCAGTCCAAACACCTCACTATATATCCAGTTTGAAGCGTTCTTTAAAAGTAATAAGGTGGAAGTAGTTCCTTACGTCTGTTTACGCTCGGATCGAGGTGAAGCTGCAGATTAGCGATAGTGACTCTTCTTCCTGTGAACTTTATCGTCAATATTTTATGCTTTAAAAATCATCTATCTGAAGTATTGCACTATGTTTCACAAATAAAAATAACACAGTTTTGACTTGTATCTGAACTAGAAGTGCACAGCTCTGATCTTTTGAACATTTAAGAGTCTCAGAGCGAATCGTTTTACTGTAGAAACAGGAAACAGCCGACGCGATCGAGCTCACAACTTTTTATCCTGTGGTCCATGTTAAGTCTCATCAGATTCTCCTCGTGTCTGTGGTGTGAGCTTTTTGTCGCATGTTTAAAAATCGCTTAAGACCCGAAAAATAATGTTGTGTGTGTCAGCCTTAACCTGGTCTGATTTGGTCTCCACGAAGGTAGAAAGGTAGCCAGGCTGGGGCCATCTAGTGCCTCCGTTCAATTTCACTTCTCTCCAGTGACTAGATCAGGAATTAGAACACACTACGGTTCGCAAAAACCCCGGAAGTGCGAGTTTGGGCACCAGCTAATCAGCGAAGAGCCATATATTCTGAGTTGTCAACAATTCCCGAGATCGAGGATTTAAAGCCGGAATAAAGAGAATGTTTGGTGAATTTTATCAAGGGGAAAGACGTTATTGCCCTTCTTCCTACAGGTTTTGGGAAAAGCTTAATATACCAGTTAGAGGCACATTACATACATCACGACCAAATAGCAGCGATTGGTTAAATTCAAAAAGTACCTGCCTACCGTCAAACGAACGAATCCTAATGCTGCGAGGTCAGACGGTTTCTACGAAGTGAAACCGGGTGATGAATCAGGCTAGTAGAAAGGTACCACATTGTGAAACATTCCAGACAAAACAATAACATCACCATGGGGAAAATCATCTGACTGACCCTCTTCCAGAAAAGTCACGCAATGCAGCTTTAACCTCTCAAACACGCACAATAAATAATCAAACATCTGTCAATTTCTGCGCGCAGCGTTCGCAGACGAGCTCCTGAAGGCGGAGCTGGAGCAGGCGCGACTGAACGAAGCCAGGAAGATCTCCGTGGTGAACGTGAACCCCACAAACATCCGGCCCCACAGCGACACGCCGGAAATCAGGAAGTACAAGAAGCGCTTCAACTCCGAGATCCTCTGCGCCGCGCTGTGGGGTCAGGACACTACACACACACACACACACACACACACACACACACACACACACACACACACACACACACACACACACACACACACGCTTTAAGTTTTATTACTCGGCTGCAAAATAGAGTATCAGGATATTAAATTGCACACTCAAAATTGCACTAGACTTGTAGAAAGCCTTTTAAATAGCTGTATTATATTAGAGTCTGGACCATTTTCACTTATGTAGACTGGTTGGACTTTGAAAACTGACGTGTATAATAAAATGTACTGCTTAAAGGTCCTATAATATGCAAAACTGAGCTGTGTTATAATGCTTTTACCTCATAAAAACATAACTAGAGTTGTCAGTCAAAGCTCAAAACCCTCTTTTCCACCTTGTAATGTAATAAAGCAGTAGTTTTTTACCTATTCTAACTACGTTTTAGCTTTTGTTCAGTAAAGATTGGCAATTCCAGACCTGATTCTAGTGAAAAACTCAGCCTTAATATGCAGGTTTTTGTATTAAACATGTGTGAATGAAACAAAACACAACTCCAGGTCTGTTTGTGATGAGGAAACAACATTATAATCTAGAAGAGAGTGTAAAATAAACCCTTTAAACTCCCCTCGTGTTTGCCCAGGTGTGAATCTGTTGGTGGGCACAGAGAACGGGCTGATGCTGCTGGACCGGAGCGGACAGGGTAAAGTCTATAACCTCATCAACAGGAGGCGCTTTCAGCAGATGGACGTCCTGGAGGGGCTCAACGTCCTCGTCACCATCTCAGGTACACGCCGACTCATGCAGATTTAAGATATGCAAGATATTTTATTGTATTGAAAGAACAAAAATGTGGCTGTTTGCTGCAGGTGTTCCAATCAGTAGGAGCAGGTAGAGGTGCTCTTGGAAAAAGGATCAAAACTCAAACACAAGGGATTCCAGGCACTCCAATAAAGTAGAAAAAGTAAAAAATCGCACAAGGAAAAATATAGTTAAAAGACCTTTATTTGAATGAAATAAAGGCCTTTTAACTATTTAACTATACTTTTCCTCGTGTGATTTTTTACTTTTTCTACTTGTTTGGTGTGCCTGGAATCCGTTGTGTTTGAGTTTTTCTTGTATGTTCTGATCTATTTATCTGTGTCGTTGATTTATTACGTCTTATGTTTATGTTATTAACTGAGAACCACTGAGGAGAAGCTTTTAAAATGTTATTATGGCGCTTGTGCAATGACAATAAAGGCTTTCTGAACAGTATGTAACCTGTGCTCTCACAGTTTTAAGTGTTACTACAATTTTATTTAAGTTAATGTCATATTTTTTAATTTGAGCAAGTGGTTACACATTTGCCACGTTTACATGAGAGCTTAATTCTGAAAAACATTAATTCCGTTTTAAAAAGACCCATGTAAACACTCCTAATGAGAATGATTATTTGGAATTAAACTTAATTCTGAAGTAAGTGGGTGGTTTGTTCCGATTTTAAAGCTGAATTCATTTATTCCTCGATCATATAAACGTTTATGCTTCTTGAAAATAATTCCAGTCATTCAGCGCATGCTCGTTGGGTCATCCTTCTGACGCGATCCGGACGATCCGGCTCCACCAGTCCTCACTTCTGACTTTCATCCACTGCTCTTTGGATTTGCGAGCGGGATGCGGGAGTGGGCTGAGGTGGGCTGGTTCCTTCTCCGACACTCTTCCCGTCTCCTCCTCAGCTGACAGACGTAAAGCGTGATGAGAGAATTTTTGAGCTGCTGTTCAGTCACTGGAACGACTGCAAAAAAAGTTTGGATCGTGTTTGTGTCCGTGGCGTAACGACAAACCGAGATGACAAAAAAAAAAAGCCGGTAGCAGCTGAAGTGTGTGTTTTCTTCCGGTCGACGTAAATACGTTTGTGTCTCTGTCCAATCAGAACCCTTCCCCAACCCCAGACGTTGAGCGGAATTAAACAAAGGCGATTTAACGTGTTGTAAACTCGAAGGAGAATATTTTAATTCTAAACTATTTAATTCAGAACAATAAATTCGGAATTAAAAAGCATCATGTAAACGTGGCCAGTACAACATAAAGACCACAATCACAACTGAGCTTGGGTTTCCAGAGCCTCAACCTGCAGACACATGGAGGACACATACAAGATTTTCTCATTCTAAGTATATGCACAGGCCTCATGTGAAAGCTCAGAACCTCCAGAATTCCCTCACTGAGCTGCAGAGGTTGCACTAGCACTGATAAAATATTGGCTATAAGTGCTTGGGTTTAGGTAATGACGAATCAGATCAGAGAGAGACATTTTAAGTTTAAACCAACTGGATTTCAGCTTTGAAACGTTCAACTTAGAGACTCATTCTGCTTTCTAATTGGATATTTGTGTTGAGAACCAAAACACCAAATTATAACATTTCAACCAGTGTTTTTGTATTTAAGAATCAATATCAGTAAGAGCAATATTTGATTTGAACATGTTTACATCATATCCCGGGACACAGAAAGGCCATGGACATTTCACATTTTTACCATTTGCAGTCAGATATTTTAGTGATATTCCCATATTGTGATTCACTTTTCAGAAAACCACCAGTTATTGAAGCACAACATTTGACTCCAGCAAAACTAAACTGTGTGTCTGTGTGATTTTTTTAGGGAAGAAGAACAAGCTGCGTGTGTACTACCTGTCCTGGCTCCGAAACAGGATCCTCCACAACGACCCCGAGGTGGAGAAGAAGCAGGGCTGGATCACTGTGGGCGAGCTGGAGGGATGCGTCCATTATAAAGTCGGTACGTGCGCTTAAAGGCACTCTGTGTAACTTTTCCAGCGCACAGTCCAGTGGGATGTTCCTACAGATCTTGTGTTTATTCAGTTAAAGGAGTTTTTTATTTCTCAAAACTACGACATAAAAAGAGAGGGATGGAGCTCACTCAGTACAATCGTCTGTGCAGTCAACATTTCATTTCTGGTGAGGTAAAATGAATAAATGAAATGATATATACCAAAAGTATTTTCTCACTGGTGTATCGGCACAGAATCCACCCACCCTCCGTCCTCACTTTCTCCGGCAAGGAATCCCCCCCACCTATTTCCACTGTCCCGTTTACTTCCCCTGGCTGTTATCAGGAACAGATGTGATGAGTTGTTGATCAACAAAGATCTCACGCATCCTGGTACAAAATATTTATATGCTTCCAACCCCGTGTAGGTTTTCAGTTCCTGGTTAGTGTAGGACAATGTCGAATGAATTAAGTAAAGTAAGTAAGTTAAGTTTTGTAAATATCTGGATACTAAAGGTTGTGCACAGAGCGAGCGTTGATTAGACAAAGAGCTCCATTGGAATTAGATCAGGATCTGGATCCAGTCAAGTGGTAACGGAGGGAAACAGGGGCAGATTTTTTACATTCAAATGTCTCTTATTCAGAAACTAGAGGGACTATTGAAATAAGTAAAGTATCAGAATGTAGGAAAGAGTTAACACTCCAACAGGGTCAAGTTAAACCTGTGATATTCTTTCAAGTTGTTGACAAAAAAAATTTTTAAAACTCATGTTGGTAACAGGAGGGAATGAAATATGCAGCACTTTTTGGGCAATAAATACAAACAGTGATAACTAGCTTGGTTCTCATTTACATATCCTTAACAAACTGGTTTGAATATTTGCTTCATATAGTTTTCTACCATATGGTACAAGATTAGGTTGAAAAACCTCTTACTTTTTGAGTAATGAGATTATTTATTAAGAAAGGTCATGGTAACGGAGGGAAAAAGTAACAGAGGGAAAATTGTACAAACAAGTAGAAGGTGCATGATTTTACATAATTTGTCAACTTTTTTCTTCCAAATACTTTAATAACTTTTTTTTTTGAAAAATCATGTATCTTCATCAACAGTTCAAAGATGGAATAACACAAGATATGATGAAATACATCCATTTATTTACATGATTTGCAGGTCTTTGAAATTTGGGAAGTAATTTTTGTTCCATGTTTCATACATGGTCTGTTTAAAAAACGTATGTAACTTTAGAACCAAAAATGGTAGAGAAAAAATGTAAACAGTTTCATAAACTAGAGTACATATGTATCTGTTGAATACATTTTTATATCAGATGCATTAACTTGAATTTTTGGCCTTGCTGTTTACTTCTGCTTGACCGGACCCATCTATTTCACAAACCAGGAGGACGACTTTAGCTTTATACCTTCTAATGACACTGACCTAACGAGCTGGCGATTTCGGACAGTTTTATGTCGTTCACGCTGTTTAAAGTCACCATGATTATACTTAAATAAACTGAATAATCACAGTCTTGACCTCCAATATGGCTGCCAAACATTAAATCATGTCACGCAAATCCTTAATTGTCCCACTCTTAACTTTACTCGTCCCTCTTTTCAACAGTAAAGTACGAGAGGATCAAATTCTTGGTGATTGCTCTGAAAAACGCGGTGGAGATTTACGCCTGGGCCCCAAAACCTTACCACAAGTTCATGGCCTTCAAGGTAAGAACCACTAGAAACAAACATAATCTGCGTTAGTGTACTTACTGTGTTATATAACTGTGTGTGATTTCAGTCCTTCACCGACCTGCAGCACCGCCCCCTGCTGGTCGACCTCACGGTGGAGGAGGGCCAGAGGTTAAAGGTCATCTACGGCTCCACTGTCGGTTTCCATGTGATCGACGTGGACTCTGGAAACCCCTATGACATCTACATCCCCTCACATGTGAGAGCGCGGTCAATATATGGGATTTTATATGTTGTGCGGAACAAAAGTAGCTCTCAACCACGGATCTATTAAAAATCACATGGTCCGTCACATTCGTGTTTCTATGGAAATGTCATTGCTCTGCTCAGAATGTCCCACAGTATGATATTAAACAGATTTATTTACATTTATTCAATTACAGGTAGTTTTATATCACAAAAACAACTAGGAAAAACAAACATTCTGACTGTGAGCGGGGTCGCCTCTCCACAGACCTGCCCTGTAACTCTGGTTTGGTCTTCATGATGATAGAAAGGTTTAATGCCATACTGTGAAACATTTCAGATGAAGCAAATGCAAATATCTCTGTGAAGAAAAGTATTTGACGAATCCTTCACCAGAAAAGTTACAAAATGCACTTTTACATTTTTAAGATTTTTAAGCTTTGTCCTAAACCAGTTTAAAACAGACAACAGAATTTAATATGTACATATACCTGATTTATTATGGCACTCTCTATATTTAAAAACTTTTTAGAAACTCAAGACTATTGTGGATACTCGTCTGAACAGGTATCAGTCCTGAAAAAAGAACATAAATAATAAACCAATTTGAAAAGTGGAATAATTTTAGACCAGACCTGGGCATTGTACAGCTCCTGGGTCACATACGGTCCTTTGGTTGACTCTGACCGGCCCTTTTAAACTAATCTGGAATTACAAAATAAACATAGTTTATAATTTTACCTCATGCATGGACTAAAGCTGCATTGCTTTTATTTTATTTTAGGTGTTTTTAAATGACATTTTTTGTAAAGCAACCTCACTTTTTCATTGTTTAGTCATAACATAAAGCAGGGGTGTCAAACTCAAATTCACAGAGGGCCAAAATTACAACTTAAATATTTATTGAAAAATTTCAACAACATCTGCATGTTTTCTTTCTAATGTTAAACCTTTTCTTATTAAAATAAATGTTTAATAATAGTTTTGCTTAAACATTGAATTCAGAACAAGTATAATATAAAATAATGACTAAAATTTTAAATAATGTCTCTATAGCCTTTCTGTAGCTTTTCAGCTCCTCTTAAATGTTTTTAAGTGTTTTTTTCACAAGTCAACAATCAAAAATAACAACTTCCTTCAGTGAAAATCCAATCTTTCAACTATGAACAGTTAAAAATCATAAAGAAAACATTCATCCAAGCTCAGTTTGCTCGACTATGATTTACTCTGATACACATGGGTCCAAAGCAGAAACAAATACTCAGCATCTCTTCTTAGATACAAGTTCATCAAAGTAGTAGTAGTAGTAGTATTAGTAGCCAGCGGGCCAACTCTCATACATATTTGAGGTGAACTCGCAGGCCACATATAATTATATTGTGGGCTAAATTTCAGTTTGACTTGTCTGACATAAACTCTTTCTAGTCTTACAGCTTGTCAAAACAATGATATTTACAGCTTTTTATAAAGAAATACAGTTTATATTATGCAGAATTGAGTTAAGCATTTTGGCCTTACATAATATTTTCTGTTTCTCATATGGCCCCATGGGAAAAAAAACACCCACCCCTGTTTTAGAATGATCTTAGTCAACATCAGCACATGTATAAAATCCTCTGTACTTTTATTTGATTGTTTTTCTGTCTCTGTGCAGATCCAGGGCCAGGTGACGCCTCACGCCATCGTGATTCTGCCCAAGACTGACGGGATGGAGATGCTGCTGTGTTACGAGGACGAGGGGGTTTACGTGAACACCTACGGGAGGATCACTAAAGACGTGGTGCTGCAGTGGGGAGAGATGCCCACCTCTGTCGGTACGGTTACAAACTCAAAACTTTACTGGGGTTATGTGGCTCCTCTATAAGCTCTGTACAAATAAATATACCGTATTTTTTGGACTATAATTCGCACTTTTTTCATGGTTTGGGTGTTTCCTGCAACTTATACTTTGGGTGTGACTTATATATAAACATTTTCAGACTTGACAGCCGTGAGAGGATCTAGTCTTGTGTGTCAGTATCTAGTACTCCTATTACTCCAGTACCACTGTCACTTCGCTCTCTACTGCGCATGCCTCCTGTAGAAAAAAATCGCTGTCTTGCCACAAATAGTGAAATATTCAGCCGAAAACTGTAATCGAGCAGCAGAAAGAAGGTTTGGAGTGAGTGAGAAACTTGTGAGTGACTGGCAGAAAGCGGGGAGGGAGAAAAAGGCTTCACGGGAACCGGGAGGATGCACCATGCAGCTTCCCTTTGAAGTCACTGGATGAATCGACAAACTTCAATGACAATCGAAACCATCCTGTCGGGATTCAGAAAGACCGGAATAATTCTAACTGGAACTGATGCTGAGTCTGACGACAGCTACACAGAAGAGGAAGCAGCGCTCTGTTTACCTCATGGATCTACGGTTTACCTCCGGAGGTTGTGCAGAAGTGACACTGAGGAGAAGAATTCAATGGATTTAGTGATTTGGAGTGAAATCGTGAGTTTGGTAAACTTATGTTCTGTTGTTTATGCTATAATTATCTGAATAACTGTTCATATGTTATGTTAACATATTAACGCCTATTCAGCCTGTTTTTCTCTGTTCTATTTTTATTACTAGAACTTGCCTTTCAAGATGATTTTATAAAATACATTTCCCCAAAAAGTGCAACTTATAGTCTGGTGCAACTTATATATGTGTTTTTCTTCTTCATTGCTTATTTTTTGGCTGGTGCGACCCCGGAGCGATTTATAGTCCGAAAAATACGGTATTTTTTATATGTTTCCTAAAACACATTACAGTCAGCTTAACTTTATTGACATCAAACTAATACAAATAGAAGATTAGATTTGTTTTTTTAAAGGTTAATTGGAGATAAGAAGACATTTATTTGCACCAGAACAGGTTACTTTGCAGTGTTGGCAAAGCAAAGTATTCAGGAGTTTCAATCAAGCGATAAGTTCTTGACTTAAAGGATTTTGTTTGTTCTCTAACCCAAATCACGGAGGAATTTTTATGCCTGAAACCATTAATCAGACAAAAAATGACCAATACGCAAAACACTAAAGCATTTTTCATTATACCGACATAATTAAATACATAAATACACCTTCCCATTCTCAAGAAACTAAGCAGATTATAGTTATTATAGTTATTAGTTTGTTATTATTATAGTTGTTGTGCCTAGACATAGACATTACCTCCACTTTGAGTTTGGAGTAAATAACGCACAAAATTAAGCAAATTAAACGTGTGGAAAAGCGCTATATAAGACTAAGGCATAAAATAACTACTGTATTATTTTATACTGTCAGAAGTTCGATGCAAACAGGGAATACTAGATAATAGGGGTGTGCAAAAATATCGGAATATCGATATATCGTATCGTTTAATGTGATGATACAGTATCAATATCGTGGGCTACTGTATCGATATATCACCAAGAGTATTTTTAAGTGTGTTTTACTAAATTATTTTGTTACAGTGCTACAGTTTTGTTGCATGTGGAGTGAAAGGAAACTCATTTATGCGACACATTTAACATTTTGACACTGTTTTGAGGATTAAAGTGTTTGTGTTTCATATGAATTATGCACATGAAGTGGTTTAACAAACACTTTTAGTATCACAGCCATGATTTAGCCTTTATTTTTTATTGAACTGTATCAAATCGATTTGAAATATATCATATTGAATTGAAAGTGCGCTGTATTGAGGTGTGTATCTTATCGGCAACTTCTTAATGATACCCAGCCCTACTAAATAATATATGACAAATGTGGAAAATAAATTGACTTATTTGTGTTTTGTGTGTGTGTTTCAGCCTACATCCACTCGAACCAGATCATGGGCTGGGGGGAGAAGGCCATAGAGATCAGGTCTGTGGAGACGGGGCACCTGGACGGAGTGTTCATGCACAAAAGAGCTCAGAGACTCAAGTTTCTGTCAGAGAGGAACGACAAAGTGAGTAACACACACGGGACTAGACTGGAAAACATCTCACGCTGGCTTGTACTAATAATGATAATGCATAATATACTGCTTTTTCAATATACTCAAGGTCTTAAATACAAACATTTTATTTTCATTAACTCCTTTGAGCCACTCGTTTCATTGCTTGTAGAAATATTCTTCTGAAGGTAAGGAGACCGGAGGAAATACTGTATCTTTCCTTTTCTCCCCATCTCCCTCTCGTTTCTCCTCTTCTCTCTTTCTGTGGATGGACAGGAGAGCGTAGGAAATATTTCTCCTTTTCTCTCACTTTTTCTCTCTCTTTCTCTCTTTGGACATATGTGGACAGGAAACCGAAGGAAATATCTCTCTCTTCTCTCCCTCTCTTTTCACCCTCTCTGATTCTTACCCCTCTCTCCTTTTCTCTTCTCTCTCTCCTTCTTTCTTTCTCTTTCTCTCTCCCTCTCTCTGGACATATGTGGATAAGAGAGTGTAGGAAATATTTCTCCTTTTCTCCCTCTTTTTCGCTCTCCTCTCTCTTCTCTCTCTCTCTCTCCCTCTCTCTCTGGACATGTGTGGACAGGAGATTGGCAGAAATATCTCTCTCTCTCTCTCTCTCTCTATTTCTCTTCTTTCTCTCTTTCTCCTCTCTCCTTCTGTTTGGATATATGTGGACAGGAAACCAAAGGAAATATCTCTCTCTTCTCTCCCTCGTTTTTCACTCCCTCTTATCCCGACCTGTCTCTCCATTTCTCTTCTCTCCTTCTTTTTCCCTCTGCTTCTCTCTCCCTCTCTCTGGACATATGTGGACAGGAGACCGAAGGAAATATTCCTCTCTTCTTTCCCTCTTTTTTCACCCCCTCTGATCCCAACCAGTCTCTCCATTTCTCGTCTCTCTCTCTCTTTCTCTTTCTCATTCTTCTCCCTCTTGTTTCTCTTTCTCTCTTCTCTCCCTCTCTCTGGACATACGTAGACAGGAGACCGGAGGAAATATCTCTCTTCTCTCCCTCTCTTTTCACCCCCTCTGATCCCCTACCCCTCGCTTAATTTCTCTCCCTCTTTCTCCCTCTCTCTGGACATATCTGGACAGGAGACAATAGGAAATAATTCTCCTCCTTTTTCTCCTCCTTTTTCTCTCTCCCTCTCTTCTCTCCCTCTCTTTGGATATACAGTATGTTAAGGGAAACGGTAGGTCTAATTTATATTGAAAATTTCAGTCAGTGTTGGCCATTTAAAGAGAAATTTAAAAAATATTGTTGTATGACCACAGCCAAATACAAAATAAACCAATTTAATTCTTTGTAGCAAACCAGGGCTGTGCAATGAATTTAATTTTAATCAAGGTTTTAATAAAGATTCAGTCATTTCCAATCAGTCTTTTTTTAATCAAAAGGTCTCCAGACAATCCTCCGTCTGCACAAACATGTGGAGCAGAGTTCAGATTTTCGTGGACGTACGGTTAGATAAAGGTGCACTGTGTAACTTTTCTGGGAGAAAGTCCGCCACCTGCTTGATTCCTTTTGGATATTAATGTTTTTCTCCACATTGTTCAGCAGGATGGCGTTTAATTTAACAATCTCCATATAAACAAGTAGGCTACATGACAAGGCCAAGTTACAGGTCAGATCTGTGGAGAAGTGGGTCCATTAACAGTAACAATGCCCTGGAGATTTTATGTAGAGTTAGGACCTGTTTACACGAGAACGCTTGCATGTAAAAACGACAAAATATTTTATCAGAAGTGACTTTCATTTAGACCAGGCATGTCCGGGGGCCAAATGCGAGTTTTTCTTGGCCCTCAGGCTTCCAGGAGAATTAGCCCAAATGACCTTGCATCAATGAAAAATAAACCTTTTATTGCAAGTTTTTTTTGAAAATCTACTTTGAAAAAGCCAATATTTAATATTTAGAGTGTGGGTTTAAGGATCTTAGCTTGAATAAAGACTGATGGCTCATTCTAACGTGTTAAACCTGCACATATTTCAATTATTCACTGTATTGAGCCCCAGTTTAAGCCCTCGATCGGCCCTCTGCTTCGTCTGTGTTTACATATGTGGCCCTTGATGAAAAAAGTTTGGACACCCCTGGTTTAGACGGTGAAGGCGTTTTTGGGGCTTAAAAACGCAAAAATCTGAAACCACCCTCCAGAGTGGAAAAGTTGAATACACTCCGCCGTAGCGTTTCTGTCTACACTGCCCAAGACGCAAAACTCTGGTCACATCTGCTCACGTCGCTTACACATTTACGTCACATAACACTGGAACAACTTTGTGGGAGGAGCAGCTGATGAAAATGCGTGGCGTGAAAACTTCTGCATGTCCAAAGACGCCCATGTTGCTTTAAATACATACAACATACACAATCCAATTCCACACACTTTTGCGTCACTGTTTGCACGAAAACGCTCGTCTAAACGCGGAATAAAAAGTGACGACCCGACACCACTTTTCCGTCTTTTGTCCAGACCGTCATCGTATAAACGTAGCCTTAGATTTTTGTTGTTTGTGGAGGAAATTATGGCACTTGAAAACTTGCAGCCTTGCAGTTTCTGGCCAACATGTCAGGGCTGGAAAAATATCTGTTCTTTTTGTTCTGATGTTTTGCAATTGCTACTAAAACGCAATTTAGAACAGCTAATAATGCTTAACCCGCTCTTAAATCACACCTGTATTTTGTCTGATTATCTTTCTTTCTATATGTATGTACTTTTTTAAATTCTTTGTCTTTGAGGTTCTTTTAAATTTCAATTAAGAACGAAAAACAATAAAATGAGAAAAGAGTTTATTTCATTATTCCGATTTAGTGTCAAACAAAAAAACAGATTTCGACCTCTGTTTCCAATATTTAATTTAAAGTTTAATCCAAAGAACACCTATCAAGAAACTCAGTGCCAATTTTAATTTTGATATTTTGTCTTTCTCTACTTATATTGGTTTTATTCTAAAGCAAAATAACGAAATAATAAACAGTTTTCCCATTTTACTGTTTTTTGTTCTTAATTGAAATTCAAAAGAACGAATGGTACATGGACCCTTTGAGTGTTTAGAAAAGCGATATATAAATAAAATGTATTATTATTATTATTATTATTATTAATTTATGTTTTGCGATCTGTTTCCTTACAGGTTTTCTTTGCGTCAGTCCGGTCCGGAGGCAGTAGTCAAGTCTTCTTCATGACTCTGAACAGGAGCTCTATGATGAACTGGTAACGCGGCGATTCCGGCTGCGCTCGGACAAACTGACAAACGAAACGGCCGACGGCGGATCGCACGGCGGAGGACTGTGGGGGACTGTGTAAGAAAAAGAAAAAAAAAAGAGAGTGATTTTTTTTTTTTATGGAGGAAAACAACAAGCTGCTACGGGGAAGAGACGAGATCGCAGGCGAAACTTTAAAAAAAAAGTCTGTGGACTGCCTCTTTAGCCTTTGGAGAATTCTCTGTGTAGCTCAACATAAAGCCACTAAACGTTCACGCTGAGAGGAGCGGCGGCCGGTTTTGAGGACGTAATCAGGTCACGGGGCAAGGTCGTAGCTGTCAAAATGCTGAGTCGTGGCGATGTCGTAACTCTGCGTCCGTTCAATTAGCTACGGTGTTGTTTTAATATCGATGTTTGGCTTTTGTACAGTCCCTTTAACTTAAAAATTGTAAAACGTTTGACTGCACAAATGATTTTCAGACATAAATTACAATACATTTATCATTATAACGCTTAAAGAAACACTGTGTAACTTTTCTGGTGGATGGTACGCTGCCTGCTTTGCCTCGATTGTTCCGCAGTATGGTCTTAAACTTTTCTATTTTGCGTTTGTGTTTTAATTCCCTTGAAACACATAGATCTGACATGTAACTCTCTGTAACTCTTCACTCCAAATACGTGATGCCTCCAGGACAAGTTTAAAGCCATACTGTGAAACATTCCAGGCAAAGCTATAACATCTCCATGGAGACAAGCAGCTGGCAAAGTTACACAGTGCGACTTTACACAAAACAGTTATGATAGAAAATTACGTGCACCCACAGATATTATTATTATTATTTAAAGTCCTACTCTTAGTTCAAAAGTCTTTTAATTGCGCAAAAATACAATTAAAACAACAGATTTTGTGTCTCGCCAAATTTCCATCCACTAGGGCTTTAGTCGATTAAAGCTGCATTGTGTAACTTTTCTGGTGGAGGGTCCATCTTGTAGATCTTATTACTTTGTCTGGAATGTTCCACGGTATGTCATTAAAGCTTTGTATCCTCATGAAGATCAAACCAGACCAAGTTACAAGTTATTTTTGAGCTGTAAAACCACCTATAATTGAATAAATGTAAAGTAGAGCTGTTTAATGTCACACTGTGGAACATTCCAGGCAGAGCAGTGACATCTCCATAGAAACAAGAGGTAACAGGTGACCGAAAAGTTACACGGCACACCTTGAAGAAATTTTTGGTGGACTGAAGACGTGATTAAAAAAGAGTGCGTGGCAAAATCTCTCAAAACTCTTACTTATCTCTGTGTGTCTGACCCAAACTGCACTTACAAGACTTCACCAGCAGAGGGAGTTTGTGCAAAAACAGCCATTTATGCAGGAAAAAAGCACCAGGAAACACTGTATTTATATAAAGACAGATTAAACTCGTAAATCATTAGTTTATTCTGCCTTTTGACATACAAGCATTAATCTCCAAATTCTGCTATTGACCCATATAAATCCAGTGGTGGAAGAAGTATTCAGTTTTGTTACTTAAGTAAAAGTAAAAGTATCACATGAAGAAATCTACTTAAGTAAAAGTATTAATGTTCCTGTTTAAAAATGTACTTAAAGAGTAAAAAGTAAAAATATTTTGCAGAGAGTTTTAGAACAATTAAAGGATGAAATGTAATAAGTAATTTAGAGGATTTTAAGTAATTAAATTTGAGGATGGCTTACCTTGAACTAAAGAAGTTACATAGTGCAGCTTTAAAATAGAAACTTACACGTTACATTATCATCTAAATAAAATCAAACAAAACAAAACAAATACATATTTCAACCGATTAACTGACTAAAAGAAAAAAACAAAAAAAACAATCATAACCAGGATACTCAAAAAAAGATCATAAGCGGGATACTCCAAAAACCCGATCATAAAACCCGATCATAATCGGGACACTCAAAAAACCTGATCGTAAAACCCGATCAAAAGCTGGATATTCAAAAAAACTATCATAAAACGCAATCATAACCAGGGATACTCACAAAACCTGATCATAAAACTCGATCATAACCGGAATACTCAAAAAAACTATCATAAGCGGGATACTCTAAAAACCTGATCATAAAACCCGATCATAATCAGAATACTCAAAAGAATGATCATAAGCAGGATACTAAAAAAACCCGATCATAATCAGGATACTTAAAAAAAAAACTATCATAACTGGGATACTAAAAAAACCCGATCATAAAACCCGATCATAATCAGAATACTCAAAAGAATGATTAAAAGCAGGATACTAAAAAAAACCTATCATAATCAGATCAAAAAAAAATATCAAACTGGGATACTCAAAAAACCTGATCATAAAACCAGATCATAAGCAGATACTAAAAAACCCCGATCATAACCAGGATACAAAAAAAACCAATCATAACCGGGATACTAAAAAAACCCGATCATAAAACCCGATCATAACCGGGATACTCAAAAAACCTGATCATAAAACCCAATCAAAAGCAGGATATTCAAAAAAAACTATCATAAAACGCAATCATAACCGGGATACTCAAAAAACCGATCATAAAACTCGATCATAACCGGAATACTCAAAAAAACGATCATAACGGGATACTCAAAAAACCTGATCATAAAAGATCATAAGCAGGATACTAAAAAACCTCGATCATAAACCAGGATACAAAAAAAAAAAAAAGATCATAACCGGGATTCTAAAAACCCGATCAAAAATCATAAACGAAAAAACCTGATCTAAAACCCAATCTAAAGCAGGATATTCAAAAAAAACTATCATAAAAACGCAATCATAACCGGAATACTCAAAAAAAACGATCATAAGCGGGATACTCAAAAAAATATATATCATGAACCAGGATACTAAAAAAAAAAACGATCAAAACCAGGATATTGAAAAAACCTGATCATGACGGGGATACTCAAAAAACCCGATCATAAAACCCGATCACAACCAGATTTTGTGCTTGTATTTCGTAGCCATCGCCCGTACTCCTCTCGGCGTGAACCCGACCCATCACGTGCTGCTGCTCAAAAATTTTACATCTTGACTTTTTAAAGAAAAGTTTAAAACCTAAAAACTCTTCACCGTCATTAAGTGGAATTTTCAGACAGCTGTAGATAGTTACCATGGTTACCAGAGCGGCACAACTGCATTTTCACGCGGGGCAGTTTTTGACTTCGGAGGGTTGTTCCTTTCGCGACAGTTTTCGGTTCAAATTCACTGCAAAAATGTAAATATATTCACTGCTGTTAAAGATCGAATTTACAACGATAAGGGAAAAGAGGAGTCAACAGGTCTGGGTTACTGTATATTTAGTTTTTTTCGAGTCTCTCCGCGGCATCTTTTTGTGCTTTCGGGCGATCACCATGTTTGTTTTTTCGATTAGGCTGGACGTAGTTTGCTCGTCGATACTTGTCCCGATAAAATATGTTCGTTTTGGCGATCGGTTACTTGCTTAAAGGTGCACTGCGGAACTTTTCAGGTTGGGCCCGCGACCATGAATATACTTTTGCTTTGCCTGTAAAGTAAAAAAATATGGTATTAAACTTAAATAAGATGCTTTTTTTTCGATTATGGGTGTTTTTATTGCTCAAAAATGTCTTTAAAAACAATATTCTCATTGAGTGGGGTCGCCTCAGTCGGTGTATTATTCGTTCATTCATTTTTCAAAATAAAACCAAAAATAAGAAAATGAAAAAAACAACTATTTTCTTATTTTTTTTGTCTCCAAAATGATTAGTTTTTTCAGTTTTCGATTTTGTGTTTAAATGAATAATGGAAAAAACGGATAACGGACTAAACCAGGACTAAAACAGAGCTAAAACAGGACTAAGCCAGGACTGAACCAGGACTAAAACAGAACTAAACCAGGACTAAACTGGTCTCAGTCCTGGTCTGGTCCCGGTTTCAGTTTGAGTTTCAGTCCCGGTTTCAGTTCCGGTTTTAGTCCCAGCTTCAGTCCTGGTCTGGTTTCAGTCTCAGTCCCAGTCTCAGTCCCGGTCTCAGTCACGGTCTGGTTTCAGTCTCAGTCCCAGTCTCAGTTCCAGTCTCAGTCCCGGTCTGGTTCCAGTCTCAGTCCCAGTCTCAGTCCCAGTCTGATTCCAGTCTCAGTCCCGGTCTCAGTCCCGGTCTCAGTCCCAGTCTCAGTCCCGGTCTCAGTCACGGTCTGGTTCCAGTCTCAGTCCCAGTCTCAGTCCCAGTCTCAGTCCCGGTCTCAGTCACGGTCTGGTTTCAGTCTCAGTCCCAGTCTCAGTTCCAGTCTCAGTCCCGGTCTGGTTCCAGTCTCAGTCCCAGTCTCAGTCCCAGTCTGATTCCAGTCTCAGTCCCAGTCTCAGTCCCAGTCTGATTCCAGTCTCAGTCCCAGTCTCAGTCCCAGTCTCAGTCCCAGTCTCAGTCCAGTCTCAGTCCCAGTCTCAGTCCCAGTCTCAGTCCCAGTCTGGTTCCAGTCTCAGTCCCAGTCTCAGTCCCGGTCTCAGTCCCAGTCTCAGTCCCAGTCTCAATCCCGTACGGTTTCAGTCTCAGTCCCGATCTGGTTCCAGTCTGGTACTGGTTTGGTCCCTGTCTCAGTCTTGGTCTGGTCCTGGCCTGGTCCTGGTCTCAGTCCTGATCTGGTCCCAGTCTCAGTCCTAGTCTCAGTCCCAGTACGGTTCCAGTCTCAGTCCCAGTCTGGTCTCGGTCTCAATCCCGATCTGGTCTCAGTCTGGTGCTGGTTTGGTCCTGGTCTCAGACTTGGTCTGGTCCCGGTCTCAGTCCTGATCTGGTTCCAGTTTCAGTCCTAGTCTCGGTCTTGGTCTGGTCCCGGTCTCAGTCCTGATCTGGTTCCAGTTTCAGTCCTAGTCTCGGTCCTGGTCTGGTCCCGGTCTCAGTCCTTGTCTTTTGGAGACAAATAATGAAGAAAATTGTTGTTTTTTCATTTTCTTATTTTTGGTTTTATTTTGAAAAACGCACGAACGAATGACACACAGATTCTCCTCTTCGCAGATCTCACCTGTAAATTGTCCCGGTGGCGTCTCCTGCTCGTTTGTAATTCGACTGAAAACTTTAATGCCATTATTTGAAACACTGGAGGCAAAGCAATAACATCTCCATGGAAACAAGCAACCGGAAAAGTTCCACAGTGCGCCTTTATTACAAACAGATACAGAGAGCGGATTCTCAATGTTGGGTAACGCAGGTTTGTTTTTATGTTTTAGGCTGTGTTAAAGTAAAAAATGGTTGGAAATAAATGTGTGGAAAGTTTAAATAGTTTACAGTCAAGGTTACTTTTGTTGGTACGTGGCAAAAAATAAGAATAATAACGATAAAAAGTCCCAACAAAATGGAAATAAAACTAAAATTAAAGAGGGGGTATTACGCAGACTCGACTTTTGGAGCTTTCTACCGGGTTATAACGTTGTTCACTCGCCAAAAACATCCTTGAAGATGTTTAATATGTCATCCATGCATGTCTGAATAATCTAGCGATCTCTCCCGGGCCCTATTCAAACCCTCTTTAGAGTTAGCTCCGAAGTAATTTTAAAAAGCACGACAAAAAAACAACACAACACAACTTCACAAACCTGATGCGATGTGCGGTAGTTTCATTACACACTGATTGTGTTGTGATAGCGCTCTGAAGGGGTGTGACTTAGCGTGGAGAGCAAAGGCAGAGGGGTCACAGAGCATGAAGCCTGTGCATAGTTTTCGGCAAATATATCATTTTCAAAACAATAAAAGGTAACATGGTGATCTAAAAATGTGTAGAAGTGTAATACCCCGTCTTTAATGAATTACGAAACACTACTGGGGCATTTGCTCGTCTGTTTTAGCCGTTTAGTCCCGAAAAAAAACCTTAAACCTCCAATCAAAACTGTTTACCAAAAAGGGGGCGGGCCTTATGCACTCTTTAAATCCTCTAATTGGCTCTTTTCATGTTACGTCACAAACCAGGAAGACGTTTGGAAACACGTGACGACAACTTCCGACGTTGGGCTCTGTACGCTGTTTAAACTGAGCTGGACGGTCGATCCTAACTATTTAAAGGTGCACTTTAAAAATAAAAAACATCCATTCTTGCCGTGAGATGTTTGTGTCCAGAAGTTTAATGCCGTACTGTGGAACATTCCGGACAAGGCACTAACATCGCCACGGAGACGAGCAGATGCCACACCCTGAGCTAGAAACGTTACGTAGTGAAGCTTTAAAACAAGAAACGTAATGTAATTTGAATTATGGATGTTAAAATCGCGTAATAGTTTTTTTTTTTTTTTAGTGTGTATGAAAGAAGTGGGACATTTCCTTTTTTTTTTTTTTTTTTTTTTTTTTTTTTGGTTTGATGCCTTTTATTAAATTTTTGGAATATAATGTTTTCACGATGCACCTTTCGGATGTTTACGGTCTCAGTTTGAAACTTTATAACTGATGTTTTTATTGTGCTTTTGCTTTGAGAGATTCTACTTCATGTTAAGCTTCATTTTTCGTTCGGAATTCTTAAAAACGCGACGCGAAAAAATCACATCACGACCGGACAAAGCTGCACTGTGTAACTTTTGGAGTGTCAAATCCACCACTTTGTTATGCCATGACTTTGCTTTATTCGTAATGTCCCACAGTATGGCTTTAAATTTAACTATAAGCTTGCGTTTATTAAAGTACAGGTTGGTAATTGCTAAAAAAAATCATCTTGAAAAACAGAAATACAGAAAAGTTAAATGACGTATTTTGGAACGTTCAAGGTCAAGCTGTAAAATCTTCAAGAAAAGTTACACAGTGCGGCTTTACCCGTGCGTGATGGTGATTTTTTGCCGTGCGCGCGCCACTTTGAAGCCTTTTTACGTTGAGTTAAGGGAGGAGGCAGCGTCCGACTGACTGAGAATAGAATGAAAAGATATATATAGTATATAGTGTAAGACTACTGAGGATATCCTTCTGATCATTTTAGCGAAAGACAAAAAATAACGTTACTTATTACGAGGAAACTTAGACGTCTTTCTACAGAATAGAGAAAATAGTTATAAAGATTTCTTAAAAAACAAAAAAATACAATGTTTTTATCGTGGTATTATTTGTAATTCAATTTTTGTATCCAGACTGTGAACGTGTGTTGATGAGCGTGTGTGTGAGCGTGTGTGTGTGCGTGAGAAATCGAGCGCGTGCACGTGTGAGGGCAGGGGCGTGCACGTGGCGGCGGAGCTGTGCACGTGCGCGGGTGACGTGCATGAGCGTGTCTGTTTT